AGGCTGCAAGAGGCCATAGGGCTTTTGCCGTGTAGGTTTGTTCAAGTTGCAAGTAGTGCAAGAAGATATATAGTCTTGAAGAGTAGTCCTTAGACTAGGCCAGTAGAACTTTCTTGTTAGAAGTTCATAAGTTTTTGCAAAGCCAAAGTGCCCTGCAGCTGGAGCATCATGGAACTGCTGTAGGAGGTGTAGCTGTAATCGTTTATCCCTTGGGACATAGATATAGCTCTTGAATAAGAGAAGTCCTTGCTGATTTTTTGAGAAATTTTGTAGTCCAACTTTCTCAAGAGAGGAGCCTTTCTTCTGGAGGTATTCCAAAGTTCTTTTGGCAAAGGGATCGTGGTTGTAAGCATCTTTGAATGCTTTAAGAAGTGTTGCTGAGGGTGTATAGTCTTTAAAGGTCTCTGGTTTCTGAGAAGAGGTAATGGGGGCAACTTGGTTTTGAAGGGATAAGTTTCCCTCTAAGTCCTCTGTAGTGCGAGGGTTGCTTAAAGATGCTGCTATAAGCTTTGTAGAGTCTAGCAGGGCCTTTGTATTGCTTGTTTTAGCAGAATCTTGGTAGTCATGTCTTCTTGAGAGGAGATCTGCTCTTTGATTCTTGGCCCCTGAGACATGTTTTATAACAAAGTCAAAACCTCCTAGTTGTTCAGACCACCTTGCTTGTCGTCGATTGAGCTGTTTAGTGGTTGTAAAGGTCAAGAGATTTGAATGGTCACTGTAAATAGTGATAGGATAGTTTGCCCCTTCAAGGTAGCATCTCCAATGCTTTAGAGAACATACTATGGCAAGCAGTTCCTTGTCTGTAATGGGATAGTTTTGTTCGGCTGCTGATAGCTTTCTTGAGTAAAATGCCACAGGCTGTAGCTCTTCTTGTTTGTCTTTTGGAGCTTGGTATAAGATTCCAGAAATGGCAAAATCTGAGGCATCTGTCTCAAGAGTGGCAGGTTTCAAGGGGTTAAAGTGTAGTAACATTTTCCCTTCTTTGAATTCTCCTTTAAGAGCATCGAAAGCATCTTGCTGTGTCTTATCCCAGTGATACAAAGTGTCCTTGTGAAGTAATTGAGTAAGGGGTAAAGCCAAGGATGTATATCTTGGTATAAACCTCCTGTAATAGTTGGCAAACCCAAGGAAAGACTGAACCTCTTTAATGCTGGAAGGAATAGGCCACGTTTGTACTGCTTTTGTCTTTTCAGGATCCATCTGAATGCCTTCTGTTGAAATTCTATGTCCCAAGAAATCAACTTGAGACATATGGAAAAGACATTTCTCAAGTTTGCAAAAGAGTTGTGCTTGAGATAGCTTCTCTAAGACTTGTCTAACATGTAGAACATGCTCTTGAGTGTCTAAAGAGTATATAAGAATGTCGTCTAAGTAGACAACAACAAAGATATCCAAGTAAGGTCTTAGAATATCATTCATGAGAGCTTGGAAAGAAGCAGGTGCATTGGCAAGCCCAAAAGGCATTACCTGGTATTCAAAATGACCATAGCGTGTTCTGAATGCTGTCTTCCACTCATCATCTTCCTTGATGCGTATCAGGTTATAAGCTCCCCTGAGATCTAACTTGGTAAAGATCTTTGCTGAAGAGAGCCTATCCATGAGCTCAGGGATAAGGGGTAAAGCATATCTGTTTTTAACAGTGACTGCATTAAGGCCCCTATAATCAACACAGAGACGCAAGGAGCCATCTTTCTTCTTGACAAAGAGAATAGGAGCTCCTGCTGGTGAGGAAGAAGGTCTGATAAAGCCAGAACTAAGGTTCTCATCTAGGTATTCTCTGAGAGTTTTCAGCTCTAATTCAGATAGAGAGTAGATAGGGCCGTAGGGAGGCATTGAGCCTTCTGCGAGTGGTATCTCATGGTCATAAGGCTGGTGCTTTGGCAGAATTGATGCCTTTGCCTTGTCAAAAAGATGTTGGTAGTCTTGGTATGCTAAAGGCAAAATGACCTCCTGAGATGATTTCTCCAAATCTGAAGTAGCTGCTATCTCCAGGACAGGTTGGAAAGGTTTAACCCATATCAGAGATGATATATCGTCCATAGTTTGGTCAAAATCCTTGATCTGGGACAAGTCTGAGTCTTGGACCTGAATAGGGGTAACTGAGGCTTGAAGGGTTTTTTCAGTATTGAGCTCCGGATTTGAGCTAAACCCAAGCGATAAATGCTTCCAATTGATAGTTGGATCATGCCTTTGAAGCCATGGAAGACCTAGGATGACTGAGTACTTCATTGGTATAACATCTAAAGAGATGGTGTCTGAAAATCTAGGGGATCTCAAGTTTGAGTACTGGGGTGTTGCAGGTAATGGAACCTGAACTGATAGGAGTTCCATCAATGACTCGGAGCAACTCTGGAGTGCGTTTGGGAATTGTAGGTAACTGGTGTGTCAAGATGAGGTCTTGAGATATAAAGTTGCCTGTTGCCCCTGAGTCTATCATAGCCCTTGTAGATAACACCTGTTGTTTGAAATGGAGTTAAATAGGGATTAACAGGTGTGTGAAACTCTGAGAAAGCACCATCGACACATCTTTGTTGTCTAGGGGAGAAGTTGTAGTCTCAGTTGAAGTTGTGCCTGGTGGGGATTTTTCAAGTTTTTCAGGAATAACAGCTGTGACTGTGTCTGAGGCTGCTATATGTTTTGATTCAGCACTCCCCCGTGCTGAATAGCACTCCTGAATTCTGTGCCCCCCTTTGCCACAGTATAAACAAAGGTTGTTGTCCATTCTGTGTTTTCTTTCTTGAGGAGTAAGTTTACCCCTTTTCAGTTTTTGAGGGCTTCTTGTAGGCTGAGGTGCTGGATTTGCTGTAGATCTCTTTATAGAGGCGTCTAAGTCCATAGGTTCAGGTGCTGAGTCCTTAGCAGTTGGTGTAGAGGTGTAATTGTTGAAATTTCTTGTTGGATGCCAGTCTTGGTTCTTCTCCTTTCTTCTTTCAAAAAGCCTATCATCAAGTCTGACAGCTTTCTCTATAAGCGTTTGAAGTGTTGTAGGGCGTTCTTCTTTGCTGAGTTCATCCTTAATAGAGCTCTTGAGCCCTTGGTAGTAAGTGAAGACTAAGGCTTCTTCATTCCAAGTCAAGTGAGAAGTGCTTCTCCTAAATTCTGTTGTATACTGAGCAGCAGAGGTCTTTTGACATAGCTTCTGTAGCTCTCTTTCTGCTGTAGCAGTTTCGTTGATGTCTCCAAAGGTCCTGGTAAGTTCCTCTTGAAACTGGTCATAAGAGGTAATCAAAGGTGTAGTGGTATTTTGGTTGTTGCCACTAAGTCTTCTAAGATATGGCTCAAAGAAGTTGAATGCAGATCCACGGAGGTAGCTGGCAGCGAAATATATCTTCTGAATATCTGAGGTGAACTGATGAGGCCTGAGGGTGAAGTAGATGTCCAGTTGCATAAGAAATCCCTTCAACTTCCTTCTGTCTCCATGGTATAAATCTGGTGTTTGCACTTTAGGAAGTGCACTTGGGGTACCCGACATAGCCAGAGGAGCTGTGGGAAGCTCTGTATGATGTGTCTGAGTTGAGGATTGTGTTGCTGAAGTGTTGGCTTGAAAGGTGTTTTCCAAATTCTCAAGTTTGTTTGCTATATTTTGTATAAAGGCAAACAGTTGTTGCATCTGCTGTTCAGCAGTAGTTGTAGGAGCTTGGTCGTCCTCCATTGTAGTATCGAAGTGCTGCTATAGAAATAGTTGAAGCTTGAAGCAGACAAGGTGTAATGGTGGGTGCACCAGATGTGAGAATCTAGCCACCCAAGGAAGGGATGAATTTACTAAGACAACACACTGTCTTAGAAAACAGAGCCAAAGGGTCGTAGCTTAGACTATTCCACAACGCAGCAATCAGGTGTGTGATGTAGTGAAGTGGTTCAGACAAGTTGCAACAAATGTTGAGTCTGGGAACTCAGGGGTAAGTCAGAGGTTAACACCTCACTGACTTTTCAGAAACAAGGAGTAACAAGATGAATGCTTGGAAGCTTGGAAAAGACGTGGAAGTATGTGATAGTCGATTTACTGTATTGTCTGCTTGCCCTTTCTTAAGGAAAGGGCAATCCTATTTATGCTAAAGGAGTGTAGCTCTCATTTTCCAAGACTTTCCATGATTACCAGGCTTGGTAACTGTAGTCGACGTAAGAGAATCCCATAGAACCATCTCTTAGGTTCGTAGCCTATAGGAAGTAAAAGGAGGTCCAAGGTCAGAGTACCCCTATAGACAAATTATGTCATAGACAAATTATGTCATAGACAAATTATGTCATAACTTAACCAATCTTGTGGGTAACTAAAGAGCGATGACATGTAATGAATCATAGAGGTTCGTAGGAGCTTTTAGAGCTATCGTTCATGCTCCTAGGCCTCTAGTTGGTAGAGATATGTCATGTGGTAGTATGAGTGATGTCATGTAATGAATCATAGAGGGTTGTAGAGATATGCTATGTGGTAATATCGGCCCAGTAACTAAGGAGCGATGACGTGTAATGAATCATAGATGGTTGTAGCAATCGTTGAGTAGTATTGCTCTTGTTGTTGGTGTGATAAGCCAAAATATGTATAGTGACTTGTAGGTTTGAGGAGGAGATTTCCAAGTTTGCTCTTGAGTTTGATAGCAAACTGAGTGCAACGAATGTCAGTATGACAGCGGGTTAGGACAAGCCGTGAGCATGGAATATTAAGAATGCGTATTATATTTGTATATGGCATACGCCTATTCGTGCGAGATGAGGCTATAAACTCAATAACCTCTTGAACTTGCTCATCGGATAGGATAAGTGGCCTACCCGAACGCTTCTTCGGAGTTGGAGGGCCCTGGCAAGCATACCAAGCCTGCCGTTCCGTGCAGCCAATATAGGCTGCAATTTTTTGGAACTCCCAATCTAGGGAGCGTAGTAGTGCGCAACGAAGCCGCTCATCGCGAGTAAGATGAGGCATTGTAGTTATTGAAAGAGTATGAATTTCCTACATATAAAATACAATAGTAGGAATTTTGACGCGTTAAAAAGGTACAAACAAGCCTACGCGTACCCATGCTCCAACCCATGCCCAACCCCCGGTCATCTCATGACCCACACACAAAACTTATGAACAACACCTCCGTAGTTTAGATAAATATCTTTGTGATGGTTGGTTCCTGGTGTCCGAGGAGGAGAAGGTGTGCACGTGACATTTAACTTCAACATCGGCACAGTAATAACATTTCCCCGTCTTCCCCCCCCAAAACGTCCCAACATCCCAACATCCCACAACCAAACAACACGTGCTTGAACTGGGCTTAATTATGTAGGATTATGCCGTCTCTACCATTTTTCATCTCGTCGTCATAAGCATTTTAAACCCATTTAACCTTCTTCAGGGGCCTGTCAAGGGCTGCCCAGGATGCTTTGTTTCTGATCCATCAAGCGAGGAGTCAAAGTGCTTCATGTATGTTTCATTCACGCCAGTATTGGCGCGTCTGAGACGCCATAGCCCTCATCCCCCCCTCACACATCCGCCATCCGTCCTTAGCGCTGATCAACAAGCCTATCTCCCCATTTCCTTACTCTCACTGTTGCTCGTCTTCTCTTCTCCTCACGAACATGTTTATGGCCTCATTTTGACCGGCCTGTGTGCCTTTTTCCATTTCTCTGCTGTTATCGTACTTCACTTCTCACATAGCGACTGGTCGCTCTTTCTTTTTTCATCATGTCCCTGCCGGCAGGGCGGGTTATCACGACTCGTGATGGGAAGCGATACACTGCGGTCTCGAAGACGATCAAGAGCAGTTCGAAAACGAGCACTAAGGCGGCAACAACAACCCAGAGTTCGGGCAACAACAGTATTAACGACGGCAATAACAACGACAATAACGACTCTAATGATAAGAGCACTGGTGTGGCCACAACAACGGTGAACCCCGCAGCGAGTGTTGTACTAGGCTCTTCCACGACAATTCAAGAAGATGCTCCAGCAACAACGACATCGGATCCACCAGCAACAACAGATCCAGTTGTCGAGATGCCGAGTGGCACAGTGGCTCTGCCCACCACAACGCCAATAGCGGAGATACATCCAGCGGCAGTTGCGAGTCAATTTGGCATCACAACATCGACTTCGATATCGACGCCAACGCCGACTCCAACTCAATCAGCGCAGCCGCAAGCAGTACAGCCGGACCCAAAGTCTGTGACGATTATTGTATCTGATACGACGGTATCTGATACAACATCTGATATATCATCAGAACCAATTTCGACCACACCACCCGCGGCAGACTCTGCAGAGAGCGATATTGCTATCCCCACCGACTTAGTGGTCCCGTCCTCGACCAACAATGAACAGCTGATAGCCGTCATCCCGACAGTCTCAACGGATACTCCCACTCCCTCAGGGCCCGGTTCAGCTGCCGAGTCCGCAACACTCGAAAGTTCCAGCCAAACCGGACAAGTCGCCATCGGTCACCTAGTCGGCGGCATCGTCGGCGGCCTCTCCTTCGCCGCCCTCCTCGGCTGCCTCTGGCTCTACTTCATGCGCCGCCGCCGCCGCCGCGACACCCTCCTCACCCCTATCTGGGTGCAATCCGAAAAGGGCCCCCCAACAGCCTACTACGAGATCGACAACTCCTCCGTCGGCCCCACCTCCCTCGGCACCAAATGGAAAACCAAAGCCGCCTCGCGCTACCACGGCGTCGTCGGCGGCTTCACCGCGCTCTCCTCCAAGATGGACCACAAGCCCAGCCCAAGCGTCAACCTCAACCGGGGGAATTCCCAATTCCTCGCCCCCTCCTTCTCAACCCACAGCCACTCCTCCGTATCTCACCCCCCAAGCGCTCTCACCCGCCGCGAGCGCGCAAGGGATTGGTGGGACCGCCTCACCGCTGACGCGGTCTTCAACTGGGCACTCTCCCGCCACACCAGGCCCACCACCGCCGACCCGCCCTCGCACTTCACGCGCTCGCGCACCGCGTCGCCGTCCTCGCGACATCCGTCACAGGATCTAACCCGGTACCTGGCCTCCAAAGACCGCGAGATGCGCGATGCCGGCGCAGCCGCGGGTTTACCGCCCGATCACCGCCGCTCTATTTCCCTCCCGCCACCTACACGCTCGCGCGAGGACCTCGGGGATGGGAGTCTCGGGATCGATTTCTCGGATGCGGGGAACCCGTTCCCGAACCCGACGGCCGCGGCACCTACGGTTGCTACACGCACATTAGCACCTAACCCCTTCGCTGATCACTCGACCGCCGCGGCGGAGGTGTCACGCCCGCAGCCGTCGGTGGGGACGACTTATGTCGCTGATGTCAGGAGGAGTAGGGGACAGAGCTTCAGTACACCCCGCCATCCAAGTATCCGCACCAGTCGTGAGAGAAGTAGAGATAGGGATACGATGCTCAGTAGCGCCACGACCAACACGCGCCGCGGAAAGGGGAGGAGCGATCCATTCGATCTCGAGCCGGAGATACTACGCGGTGTAGGTGCGGGGACGAGGGGGAGCGTGTTGAGTGACGTGGAGGGGTTGCCTAGTTCGGCGGGGGGTTCGTTGAAGTGGGGGGTGGCGGGTGGGGGGGGGGAGATTCCGGGTGCTGGGGTTGGGGTTGGGGGAGGAGAGGAGAAGGTGTTGGGGGTTGGGTTGAATCATGAGAGTTGGACGAGTAGGTATAGTGGTGGGAGTTGGACGAGTAGGTATAGTCGTGGGAGTAGTGCGGGGTTTAGTGGTTGGGGGGATCCGGGACCGGATTTGGGGCCGAGAGGGGGGTATGGGGGTGTGGGGACGGGGGTGGGGGTGGGGACTGCGATGTGAGGTTTGAGTGCTTTTTTTGGTGGGTGGAGGGTTGGGTTGGGTGGAGTGTGGGAGTTTGGTGGGGTAAGGAGGGGCGTTGGGGTGGTTGGTTGGAGGGGGGATGTACGAGGGGTGTACTGTACAGTACGGCGTTGGGGGGAAGACCTGTGGATGGGGAGAGAAGGAGACGCATATCATCGCACAGCATGTTTTCCATATTAATTGCGCAGAGAATTATTTCTGTACTCTGTACTCTCCATCATATCATATCCCCATGCAGCCTAGCTCCATCCATATCCCAATTCAGGCACAACACAAAAACCAACGAACGGGGTAACTATCCCAAATATACAACAGCATATGCTTGCTCTTTTGTGCCCCTCTTTCCATCACTCTGTTTGTTGCCCAAAGATGGCCCATTGGCAGATACAATAAATAGATAGATAGATATATATAAAAACGCACCAACGCCGTGCTAAATGATTCCCCACCTGGTCCCCCTAACCCGGATCCCTTCCCCTGTTCATTAACAACGCCACTCAAAACAGCACACGCACGGCGGACTACCCGCCGCTCCAACTCCAATCACAAAGTACGATATACCATTCCCTCCTCCGTACACGCAAAAAGCGCCAAAGCAAAAAAAGAACAACTACGGATAAGCGCCCCTGATCTTCGAAAACAGAGTCGTGTCGAGGAAATTATAGTTCGGATCCAGCTCGCAGAACGGATGCTGGTTCAGCAACGTATCAGCCGTAGGCCTTTCACCCGCAGATCTGCTTTCGTGTCAGTACATGCTAGGAAAGTCGGGAAAGTGTTGGGGGGTTAGACTCACATCTGAAAGCAATCAAGCATCAAGCCCATAGCGTACGGGCTGATCGCATTACTAACATCATCCGGGATCGGGGGCGCCTCGTTCAAACTACCGAGTTTATACATCGCCCCCACAGCCTCCTCCTTACTCCACGGCCTGCGCCCAGCAAACATCTCAAGCACCACACAGCCCAAACTCCAGATATCGACTTTAGCGCTATACCCATGGCCCTGCGACCTGACCACCTCAGGCGCCATCCAGAATACCGAGCCTTGCATGTTATTCGACGCGTCGTTTCCATAAATATTATCCGTCTTCTTCGAGATTCCAAAATCGCTAATCTTGCACGTTCCATCCAGATCGAGCAGGATATTATCAGCCTTCAAATCACGATGCAAGATCCCCTCGCGATGGAGGTACGCGAGTCCCGACAGCGTCTGTCGCGTCAGCGAGCTAACGACGGGTTCCTCGAACTTCCCGTGCTTGCGCAGACAGGACCCGACGCTGCCACCGGAAATGTACTCGAGGAAGATGCTGATTGACGTCTCCTTGCGCTCGCACCCGAGGTACTGCACGATATTGACGTGGTCGAGGTCTTTCATGGTGTCGATCTCGAGGTCGAGCGTGGCAACGAGCTCTTTCATCTTGTTCTTGTCGTTGCCGGCTGCCTTGGCGCTGACTTCGACTTGCTTGACGGCGAGGAAGTCGCCGGTGGTGGCGTTCATGCCGAGGTAGACGCGGCCGTAGGTTCCTTTGCCGATTAGCTGGCCCTTAAACCAGCGGAAGGTGGCTTGGCGTTTGGGGATGGTGTCTTGTGGGATGCTGGGGAGAACCATGCTGCCTCGCTGCGGTTTGATCTGGACGATGTTCGCGCCGAACATTTTGGTGCTCTTGCGGCGCAGGATGGCGGACGGTGCCTGTCCGCCCTGTTGGGATGGCTGAGTGAAACGCTTGTTGGCCTCATGTGCACCTCTGGCCACGTCACGGATGGACTTCATTCTACCAAGTCCGCCAGATCGACCGACGTTCCTTTGCGCAACATTCTGGATAGATGGAGGTCGACGACTATCGAGTGTCTTGAGCGTCGATTCATCAGAGCCAAGCGTATCGCCGTTATTGTAATACGATTCCGGGTGCTCTTCAGGGATGGGCGGAGGTGCGTTTGTAGGCATGGCCAGCTGTGGCGCACCAGAGCTTGTAGGAGACGACGGTGGGGATGGACCTTGCCCTCCTTCGAGGACAGGCTGGTCCAGATCGAGATTAGGGAAGAATTCGTCGAGGTGGTTAAACAGCGCTTCAGCGGGAGGTCTGCTTGCCCAAACATCTTCCCTCGCAAACGATCCCCGACGAAGAATCCTGCTCATGTCCTCCGAGCCTGCAGAAATTCCACCAGATGCAGCGGACCAGTTCTCAGACAAGGCAGAGCCTGGAGTGCGGCGTTGCGGCCGCTTCCCGCTTCTTGAACTAGATACTTCGTCTCGTAGTTCGGGATTCTGCAATTGTTCGGCTGTAAGCCAAGCGTCTTTGTCCCGTCTTCCGCTACGCGCACTAGCAGTATTGCCGTCGTCATCTCTCATGTGTTTTGGCGGAGGTTCGTATGTGTTCTCGCCGAAGCTAACTTTACTCTTTGTTCTAGTGATAACCTTCAAGGCAGGGCGTTTGTCAGTATCCCGTTGCTCCGCCTCAGCGGTGCCCAAAGTGGCATCGTTCGCATCAGACCCCTTAGCACGGTTGGGAAGGATCTGGAAGAGGCCATCGTCAGAGTCGTCATCAGAATCATCGTCTTGTTGCGTCTGCTGGGGCCGCTCAAAGGAAACCTGGGCCTCAGTAAAATCAACGTTGGGCCCGTAAGACTTGCGCTCTCCAACCAGGCTCAAGCCTCCGCCAGGGGTACCAGCACTGCTTGGGCTAACATCCACTGGCGAAACCCCTCTGCGCAGCCCTTCTTGTCTAAATTTAGCAATAGCTGCACTTTGACCCTCCAGTGGTGCGCCACGATTCTCTTCAAGCTTGTAGTCGGGAACTATAAACGGCGTATCCCCCTTACCCCATGTCAAGCTGCCTGGTGTCCCACTCGATGACCTTGGGCTGCTCCGACCTGACGCCGAAGGGCCAAACTCAACCGTTGACATTGATGATTTAGGTTTGTCATCGGTGGTATTTGCACCTGGACTTGGTTGGCCGACGTGGAGCAGATGATTGCCCATGCCAGCAAGAGCTGCTCCAATGCCGCCACCAGGGGATGCCTTTCTGTTTCGTCCAGTATCCTGAGGGAAAGTCTGAGTGCATCCAGCTGACGTTGCCGGTCGAACCTCAACATTTACAGGCCCTATAAACCCAGCAGATTGGGCAGTCTTCTTGCTCAGTGAGTTTGCCTTGATCAATGTAGCTGACTCTCCAGGCGGAGGAGGCGGTTTTCTCTGTGGGTAGAGGTTGTCCACCTTTTTGTCTTCGAAGGGCGAGCCTCTTGGCTTGTCGAAGTCAACATTCCTCGTGCCTACAATGCCTGGGCTACGTTCTTGCGTTGGATCCTCCTCAAATGAGAATTCCTTGGTTGTCTTCTTCTTAGTCTGGAAGGCGTGGTTCTTCTTGTCGACTTCGGCCTTGCGGTTATGAGGAGGCGATGAGTTTGATCGGCGTCTTTCTCCATTTATCTGATTAAATTCATCGTCATTATATGAGCGGCCATGGTGTCCTGCTTCCTGTGGGAAGTTCGAACTCAGACCAGCAGAATCAGGTGGTCGCAAGTGCGTGGCTGAAGCGGGTGGGGCGCGCAGGAGTATCTTCAATCCTCCAAATGCATCCGCTCTCATCTTTTTGTTTACAATCAATTTACTGTCATCCAATGCCTCCTCGTGGTCTATTTTCCCCAGCTCTGTCGGATACATTAGGGTGTGGGCAATATCCTGAATCCCAAGCGTGTGGCATAAAATCACTCGAATATCATGAGCAGAGTCAGCATCAGTGACATCGCAAAGTCGATAGTTCAACCCGTCCAAGGTTACAAGGACAAAAAGTCTTGAGGCCGGGTTTGGGCGCTTTCCGCGGTACGTTGTGTGTGAGAATTTATCGTGCTCCAAGGCAGAATAGCTCGATGCCTGTCTATCAAGAGATGTTTCGCTAGCCGCTGCCTTCGCGTTCTGGCCATATTGTGGGGCTCTGAAGCTAAGAGAGGGGCTTGTTGGAGAGTCAAAGTGGTTATCGTCAGGTGAAGGAAGTAAGCCCTCTTCCTTCGGCTTGGGCTTCTTTCGCAAATACTTGAGGAAGCTTTTCGATTCTTTGGCCGAAGTGGGTGCTTCAGATTTGTAAGATCCAAATTCCGACTCGAGCGGCGACGGGCGTGTTCCTTCCTGTCCATAGCGGCGGTGGCCAGCAGCAAACCCTGCTTCACCACCTGCTCCTGCCATTCCAGATCTGAAGGCCTGGCTAATTGCTGGAGAGATTCCTGACCCGTATATTGCTGTGCTTGAGGAGACGGAGTCTGTGCTATTGCTAGCGCGGTGCCCAAATGTTGTACTATGCGGCGAAGCAGAAAGCTTCCCTTGAAATGTGGGTACATACGTCGCAAACGATTGCCCTGGGCTCCCGCTTTTTGGGCTGCCTTCCGTGCGTAATGCAGGTCCCATAAAATGCCCGCTATCTGACATGTCAGCGCTCGCATTAGGGCTGTGTCTCCGAGAGGGATCACTGCCATCAAGTGACTTCAACATATTCCGATGGCCACGGCTATCGGTGGGGCTATCGTTCGATTGGTATGAAGAGCCCGTATAATTGGGAAGAGTTGTGCTTCGATTCTGAGAAGTGATGCGCTTTCCGACCCCTGGGCTCGGCGCATTGAACATGGACTGCTTATCAGGGCTCTCGTCGTCGGGGTTAGCTGTGCTGGGAGTTGTCACGTAGCTTTCCCGCGTCATGTTTGGAGAAGACCCTTGGGTGTGATCTACACAAGCGTTGAAGGAATTTGCAGAGTTTGATTCTCGTCGGCCGTGCGAAGATCTACCAGCAGGTTTTCCGGTGGTAATCTCGCGTATCAATTTGCGCATCCGTTTGCCCTCTTCTCGTTCCCGAGACTGGTCCCAGCCTGTTCCACTGGATGAGCATTGCTTTGCCAGTCGAGGGTAGACCTGCTGGTGCATCATACCGAAATTAGCACGTTTGCCGTGCCCAGTACCCAGTTCAAGGAACGCAGAGCCGTGCACTTCCAACGCCTTAAATGTCTCTTGCCAGTCTGCAGAGAAGTGGTTCTTAGCTAGCCACAATAAGACACGTTCCAACGGCCATTGGGCAGCAAGCTCAATTTGCGCCTGTGTCAGAGCCGGGGCATTGGTATTGTTCATGTTGCCAGGCTCGGCTGTTAAATCCCCTGATTGAGTTATAGGATTGCTTGGCGTTGCTGTTGTCGGTCTGGAGCCATACTCTTGACCAGGCACGTGTGTGTTATTTTGCCTGATTGTGGACGTTTGTGTCTGATACAGTCTCTCGCGGTCGTTGTAGAAGCTGCTTGGCCCTTCATCCATGGGTGTCGTTAGGCCACTTTCTGTCGCAGTCCGGCTCGAACCTCGCGAGGATTCTGATACAGCAGAGAACTCTGAGCCGTCGGCACTGCCGAAACCAGGGATTCCGACGCCAACACCAAACGACAACTCGCCCGCGTGTGGAGTATAGGTTGCTGACATCTGAGTTTCATTTGCCTGTTGTGTCTGAAGTCTGGTCAGAGGTGCGGCCATGTTCATCGGATACTGTTGGCTCGGATTGTATGTTTGGTACTGGTTATTGGCCGATGCTTGTAGTGGGGGCGGGCCGGGATATTGTCGAGCATCATAGGCACGACCCCAGGAGTTCTGCCAGCCACCCTGCATAGGATGGGCACTTCCAGGATGCGGGGGTGGTGGAGGCAGCATCATTCCGTTTGGGTGCTGTTGTGGCTGTCCTGGTCCAGGCCTGGGTGGTGGCGGCGGAAGCGTCATCATATGGGTTTGCTGGATGGGTGGTGATTGTAAGGGTGGTGGCGGCGGGGGGACATACCCTCCCGGCGCGCTTGAGCCTGGCCCATGACGCTGCCCTGGTTGATACATTGGCATGCTCTGTCCTGCCCGCGTCGCTGGTCGATATGAGTTGCTGTTGCTGGATGGTATTAGGAGGAGGTGCTGTCTCGGCTGTAAGCGCCCGAGTTCGTCGTCCTACGCCGGGAGGGTAGATAGAGCTCGAGGCGCTGAGGCTAGGATATGGAGATCCAGAACCGTGAGACGGTATGAGAAGTGAGCTCGGGCTGTTGCCAGCAGTATAATATGTAGGAACGTCGTTCAGAATAAGGTCGTTTGGGAATGCCCCTCCTTCATTCGTGGTGCAGGCGGCAGGTGAAGCGCTGCGGTTTATGTCCGAGTAGTTCGAACGTGTTGATGATGATCGTTGGGCAGGAACTTGTCATCGCAATCCATTCATCGTCGGAGCCAGCAGTACCAGCCTTTCCAGCCTTTGTAGTTCAGACAGCAATGTCCTGAACGGCTGTTGGCATAGCACAATGCGGGTGGCAGCCGCGTCAGTATTTGACGGCGCTGTTTGTAATTCGAGCAATGGCGTTTGGAGCTGCATGCGCCCTTTACCGCGTCGGCGAGTAGAGTCGCGTTTCAAGAAGGTGATGCTTGGTTTGAATCGACTATGCGATCCTAATTCTTCGATGTGACCCTTCAGGTCTCGATTCCTTTGACAGCGATTGTTCCCTGTTTACAGAACTGTTCACAGTTCTGTTCACAGTTCTGAATACTTTGGGTAGCCACTCAGCTTCTGGGATCCCCATGGTTTCTAGACCGTTGGGCGCTTTGACCCCTAGAAAGGTGCACACGGGAGTTTCCGTTCGCCCCTAAGAAACGAGGTACAGGGCGTTAACCAAAATAAAAAAAGATTTCGTCCCCAGATATATGATATTTATTTGTTTATTTGTGTTACATATTAATCATATTTATATATAAACGCGCCGTTGTGGTACTGGAGTTTATTTGAGAGTACCCAGTAAAAACAATAAATAAATTCTATATACCCAGTTCCATCCCACGTGACCCGCCCAAGCCCAATCTAGAAACTCCCCACGTATGAGAACGGGCTGTAAACCCCCCCGTAAACCCCCCTGTTCTCATATGAGAACGGGTCAATTATGAGGCCTGCGGCAAGTCCTGGCATTATGCCCAGGCTCGCCGCAGGTGCCGCAGCGTGTGCGGACCAAGTCCGGCACGGCGGCAACGACTGCCCCAAACGGCAGAAGTCCTCCATGATCCCGGCGAGCCCGGCGTCCTCGAGGACGCCGGGCATCCTCCCTCCGAACCCTCTCTTTTCGCGGTCGGCCGCGGGGGATTCCATTGCTCGTCGTCGGGGCTGGCTCGGACACGCCAGGCACAGCCCTCCTCGGGACAAACGGCGGTTGCCCCGTCTTTGTCCCTCCTCTGGAGCCGCCAAGAGAACTTCTCCTTGACGGCCCAGCCGTCCAGGGGGCGGGACCAAGCGTCCAAGTCGAGGAACTCGCTACCGTCGACAGGGGCAGCGAGTTCGGCTAGCGAGGCCATCGTAGGAGGCAGGGGCGGGGGAGGCGGGGGAGTTTGTGCCTCGCGCGAGGGCTTCCGAGGGGTGTTTCGAGGGGGTCGGAGGAGGGAGGGAGCCTGGGAGGTGTCAGCGGGGTTCTGTGGTGGAGGGGAGGAAGGGAAGGGGGAGGAGGTTTGGGGGTCTCAATTGACCCCCGACTTACCGTGCAATTGAGCTGGTATATTGCCAGCTCAATTGCTTCAAAAAGGCCATATGAGAGCACCTACTCTCAAATGAGAGTACGCCTCTCATTGGCTCGTTAACCTTTCCAAAGGAGGGTTAGCGGCCGACTGGGTAGATGGAGTTTTCTTACCAGTTTACTGGGTATATCGAGTTTTTGCCCTTTATTTATTGTTTTACTATATCCCATGAGCCACCGGCCAGCCACAGAAACCTAACTTCCATCACACGTCCTAAGACATTCGGATTCAGGCATTTTCATGCTTGTCTGATATGTAAGTAAAGACCTGCAGTATCAGCTACTGGCTTGATACAGGTATCATGACGGATTTAGGTAGTTTCTTGCAGGATGCGCCAACTGCCGGTCGATGACTTCATCGATAACCACCAAGGTGGGGTGGCACTTGCCAAAACACTTACGATTCTTCAATTCTTCTTTCCACACATAATCTGGATTCATAGTTGAAATAATATCTCTTTGTCTCCAGTGAAAACCCAAGACAAAGCCAAACTATTCTCAAGCAAATTCTCGTAACAGTCAACCATGTCTTCAAAACCCGAGGATATCCGGACGGCGGACCTGCACAAACCCGTCGATATTGCCGAGTATCTATTTACTCGCCTTAAGCAGATCGGCTGTGATTCAATTCATGGAGTTCCAGGAGATTTCAATTTGGTCGCATTGGACTATATCCCCAAGGCTGGTCTCAAATGGGCTGGGAACTGCAACGAACTTAATGCCGGTGCGTGTTGTGTAGCTTCCCTAACCCATTCTATAAATACTAATAGATCATATTACAGCATATGCAGCTGACGGGTATGCGCGTGTCAAGGGAATCGCTGCCATCGTCACAACATTCGGAGTCGGAGAGCTCTCGGCGATAAACGGAATAGCTGGATCGTACTCTGAGCAAGTCCCAGTTGTGCACATCGTCGGCACCCCTTCGACAACGTCTCAGAAAAATGGGATTCTCTTGCATCATACCCTCGGCAATGGAAACTTCAACGTCTTCTCCGATATGAGCAAGGAGATCTCCTGTGCCATGGCCAAATTAACCCACGCAGATGATGCCGCGTCGCTCATTGACAACGCTTTGAGGGAATGCTGGGTGCAGAGTCGACCTGTCTACATTGCACTCCCGACAGATATGGTGCAAAAGAAGGTCGAAGGCAAAAGGTTGCAGACGCCAATTGATCTATCATTCCCCGAGAATGACCCTGAAAAGGAGAAATACGTGCTTGATGTAATCTTCAAATACCTCTATGCCGCTAAGGAGCCAATTATATTGGTGGACTCTTGCGCAATCCGCCACAGAGTGTTGAAGGAAACGCATGATTTCATCGAGAAGAGCGGTTTGCCCGTATTCGTAGCACCCATGGGAAAGAGTGCTATCAATGAAAGCCATCCCAACTACGGTGGTGTGTATGCAGGCGAAGGGAGCTTGCCCGAAGTCAGAAAGCGCGTAGACGCTTCTGACTTAGTCTTAAATATCGGTGCTATCAAGAGCGATTTCAACACAGGTAAGTTGCCCATAAATATCACCTACACGAGCCCTTCGAACTAACTATCCACAGGTGGCTTCTCGTACAAGACGTCACAGCTGAACACGATTGACCTCCACAGCACATTCACCAAAGTTCGCTACTCCGAGTACCCCGGAGTGAGCATGAGAGGTCTCCTGCGCAATCTCGCCAAAAGTATCGACACAACGAAGCTTACCAGAAGCGCAATCCCAGTCCCTGTGCCGAAGAACAGAGTCGCCGAGAATAGTGGCAGATCCGAGATTATCACACAGGCTATGCTATGGCCTACCGTCGGAGAATTCTTCGAGGAAAACGACATCGTCGTGACGGAGACTGGTACTTCCAATTTTGGTATTTGGGAGACGAGGTTCCCTCCAGGCGTCACGGCACTAAGCCAGGTGCTTTGGGGTAGCATTGGGTGGTCCGTCGGCGCTTGCCAGGGAGCAGCTCTTGCTGCGGTAGACGCAGGTGGAAAGAGGAGAACGATCCTCTTTGTCGGCGATGGCAGTTTCCAGCTCACGGCACAGGAAGTGAGCACCATGCTCCGGCTAGATCTCAAGCCAATCATCTTCATTCTTTGCAACGATGGATACACCATCGAACGGTTCATCCATGGAATGGATGCTGAGTACAACGATATCGCGACCTGGAAGCACAAGTCCCTTATTGATGCCTTCGGCGGTGCTGCCAAGGGAGCGAGGACGTACCAGGTTAAGACTCAGAAGGAGGTTAGGGATCTGTTTGATACTAAGGAGTTCAAGTCTGCGAATGTTTTGCAGCTGGTGGAACTCTTTATCCCGAAGGAAGATGCTCCAGGGGCTCTGAAGATGATAGCGGAGGCCAGTGCGAAAACGAATGCGAGCTAAGTTTGAAGTATGGGAAACAGTGGGGTATTAAAGGTCCAAAGTAACCTGTAACGTAAAATATAAGTGATCTTAAGTAGTATAGCTAATTGATACTTGAGTTATGAAATGTTCGGAATATGGGATAAATTGTTAGGAAATAATTGAGGTTAAATAAATAAGAAACAAACACGATAATATAAAATGTGCCTATTCTTTCGCATTTGAAGGGAAAACAGCTTTAAAACCATTACAATTTAATTATCATACTAGAACCAAATGCAAACCCAAGATAAATACATCGTAAATGACACGATAAAGTGTGGTTATTAAAATATTTCGCTCCTTCCAACCTAACATTAAGCACTGACGTCGTCACAAAAAAATTCGCTTGTTTATATATTCCGAAAGCGTGATGGGGGAAGCACCTGACTTCCACCGACATCGCCACATTTTAACAATCACAAAATGGCTGACACGAATAAGCGGAAGTCAGGGCCGGGAGATAGCAGAGATGATAAGCAAGGCAAGAGAAGCAAGGTATGTTCTGATTTTCGTTCGTTGTCCAATTCTCGTTGGTTCATTTGGGCGGCGTTTGGTCGGTGTTTGGTCAATATTGGGACGACGATGCACGTCGCCCAAGTCGAACAGCGTCAGGATAATATGCAATTGTGGCTCGGTTCATGTCTATCTCTGCGGAATTCGGCACTGTATCCCACGCCACGGCACACAATCTCATGAGTATACTGACATGATCGCAGGGCGGGTCAGGTGGAAAATGGCAAACGCCACACCAAAAGAGCAAAGCCAACACTCCACGGGGCGGTGGGAAGATTGAGCCTGGCGATGCGGGAATCTGGGCTACCTGCATGAAAAGCAAAGAAGGGAAAGCTACGGAGGAATTGAAGAGCCTCTTTGAACATGTAAAGTCACGCGGCACGAATTGGCGTGGCATAACTGACCACCTATCCAGTCTGCCGAGAAGTTCTACAATATTTCACCTGTGAAAGAAGATGATGATGAAGATGAGGATATCGAAGCCTCCATTCGGAAAGAGATCAGCGGCATGGCGGCGACGAAGGATGCGCCAAAGATGTTCCAGCCCGTCTTCCTGGATGTGCAGTGTGTGCTGTTCTTCAAGCTACAGCCTGCAATTGAGCCCGTCGACTTCGTCCATCGGATATGCGAGGAGGCAGCGAGTAACCCCACTGGAAGGACACACAGATTCCTGAACAGGCTGACGCCAATGACACGTATGGGGCGAGCGACGCAGACCGACCTGGAGGCACTGGCTAGGGAGGTCTTACAGAAACATTTTCGGCTAGTGGATGGAGACGGGACGGAAGGGAAAGCGGGCGAGTGTGATGCCCAAGATTTCTGCTCGGTAAGTCTTTTTTAATTCAGCTTTCGTGGTTCTAGACGTGCGTGTTGGAGTGGCTCCTTCGAGGCAATCATGGTCAAATTCTGAGTCTATAGCGATGGATGCAGGCACACGTGCTCAAATCATATGCACTCTGGGAGAGACATCTATACTGACACATCACAGTATGCGATCCGACCAACAATCCGCAACCACAGCCTCTTAAAGCGTGATGTTGTAATCAACACTATCGCAAATCTCATCGATAAGTCCCACAAAGTCTCGCTCACTAACCCAGACAAGGTTATATTGGTCGAACTATACCAAGTAAGTGCATCCCCCACTGCCGGCATACCAGTCCGCAGATCTCATCCCTAGCTTCGCGCACTCCGTTTGGCAGCTCGGTTACACGATGTGAGAGCTACGCGATGCGATGCCCTCAGGGTCCATACTTTAGCTCCACAGCTGTATGCACACGCTATGATTTGGTCTCGGCATTCCTACCAGTTTGAAGGGGTCAACCACAGAACTAACTTTTGAATTACAGAATGTTTGTGGCATGAGTGTCGTGGGAAGCGATTGGGAGGCACTTAAGCGCTACAACCTCAACGAAATTTACTTGCCCACTCCCAAACCGGGGCCGGCGGCACCTGTAACAGAGGGGGTCCCTGCAGCGGAACTTACGGCGCCAGATCTGGCAACGAAAGACGAGACACACGTGCCCGATGAAAACACTGTTGCAGAGCCGACGGCGGCGGCACCGTAGGAAGCAGTGTCCCTCTAGCTATATTGACCCTGTACTCATGCATACAATGGAGCAGTATATAACTGAAATGCACCCCTCACTTAGTTCTCAATTCCACAGTGAAATTCAAATCAAACCCCGCAAGCGATTGCGATAGCGATTCGAGCCCGTGCTGCTCCCGTTGTCGCGGGCAGCCGGTGTCGAACCCTGCTCGCCTATTGCAATCAGCGAAGCTAGGCTACGAAGATAGGTCCGTTTCAAGATGCAGTCTCTATTTCCATGCCCAAAACATGAACGCTTCGGTCCGTCGGCAACTAAAGTAGCACCCTCAGTTGATGCAGGCCAAGGATGCAGACCCCAACGCACGTCGATCGCTTTAGATTGTCGCACCCCAGCAGCTGGGCCATATTTGGTGTGGAATGCGAGTTGTTCCGGGTCCTTCCTCGTCTAAGCAAGGCTACGCATTGTAGCGCATCTGATAATGCGGTCGAAGCGCGACGGTGGATGATGCACTGTCAGTTCCGCCATAGCCGTTTGAGACTCTATATGCAGTTTCGGGAACTGGCTGTCTGGGCACCAGTGTACGCGAGTTGTTAAATCCTCTAAACTGGCGGTGAGCGTGGATCAGACACCGAAGATAAAAAAACTGATATTCAAGTCCATCCAAAGTGTATCCATTCGCTTACAATCCCCGAATCGAATGGCGACCGGGAAGTGTCAACTGAGCTAACCGCTTTGCGGCAATTTTGACGAGGCTTGTAACGTGTGATGAGCTTATATGAACGGAGCTTCGTCCCCAGCACTCTCATGAAGCCCAGTGATGCGCCAGAGGGAATTCCGGATGTAGCATATACGGGTTGTCAGCCCGTATTTCTTGCCGCCACCAAGCTACCAGCCGAGCCGATGGGTGGGGTCCATGATGGGACGGAAAATGCTGCTGAGGTCAGAAGATGAACGCGGCGCCATACAGACAACAGAGCACGTTGGAAGCAGGCAACAGCAACGTGCTTCTAGAATAACCTCGCTTATCTTCTCCCATGCTTCTTGATGCATGCTTCGCTATTCCCGAGCGTCTGATATGGAAGAAATGCCCCATCCCCGTCATCTCTCCACACAGCCGCCAAGCAATTCGTCTTGTTTCAAGAGGCGGGCGATGCGAACTTAACTAGTCTCCGCTACCTAGCTCCGGCTGGGTCAACATGGCACCACTCTCGGGTCGGATATACTCCACGAAGAGAAATTTCGCGTCTTGGAACCTCAAACCACAATCGTGTGCGTATGAGAATGGAAAGGGACAGGCTAACGAGTAACGCCATCTGCCGTTGCCAGTGCTCGCTTGCAGTGATGGATTCCTGCATTGATCAGCGTGCAGGATTTGCCTGGTGGATGAGACATAAAACACGGAATTATATTTGAGATAATCCAGAGTTGCATCGCTGACGACTGGCCGGCCTCGCGAATTGCTACAGCCCCTCCAGTTGCCACGAGCCTTACGACACGGCGTTCGTTATATCTTGGCTTTCTCTAAAATCGAAGCAACTTTCGATAGAGGGTGTGGCGGAATTTTACATGTGCTTCTATCTGCTTCTCAACTCCAAAACTTCTCTAGTAGAAGCTAACTTGCGCACTTGCTGGATGCAAAAGAAGCATATGAAAGTGGATATTCGTTTTTAGACTGTTTACCCGCTTTCTCAGATCCTCCAACTCCTCCACCTTCGCTAATCCTTACGTCATGAGGTACGAGGTGGGTAGGCAAATTACGAAAAATAAGCCCTTACCAGACTGAAGCACACCCAGGCCCAAATGGCGCTCATGGCTGGATGGGCCCAAACCCACGAATAGGACAACACGGCTAGCGAGGCCATGACACGCTGCCGAGGATATCCCATGTTCATTCTGCCGCGACGGGATCTGATTCTCCCCAAAATGAGTATAAGCGAGGCGAGCTCTCTTTTATGTGGCTTGCTCCCACTTGTAGCTGGGCTCAAATTGCTGTTGTGATAATGTGCGTAGCATCTCACTGCATATCCGCGTTTCCCTAGCCTGCCTTCAACATCGTAAAGGAGGGTTTCTATTCGTCTACACAGCAAAAGACCGGAGCTATTGTGGAAATTCATTCAATGGACCCTTTCTCATCTGGATCAAACGCTCCCCGCTTGCTGCCGCGTGGACGATCTTCTCGGGGTATGTCTGGCGTACCTGCTCGTACTTTCGTCTCGAATCTCCCGAAAGAGCGAAGAGCGCCGGGCCCGACGATACAGCCACATTTGAAGCGCTTTCTTATTTTGTAGGATTTGCAGTGGCTCTTCGCTTGATGGCACCATTTAGGATTCAGCATCTCGCTGATACCGCTCACGCACCTGATGGCCGTCGGCCTTGTCGGAGGCAGGGAGAGAGATATTACTCTCATATTTGGCTGAAGCTGCCCTTGTCAACACAACCCTTGAACTATTCATCTCGACGTTATTATTCTCCGTATAATATGGAGTCTCCATGCTGTCATGCTGATACTGGTTTGTATACCGTCAACTATTGTGCTCCCGCATGAAGGTCGAGTTTCTTACCGACATATTCTTCAAAAGCCGGCCCTCGACTATCAGCGATGTATACGCTGCCGATACTCCGCCTCAAAGGCGTTGTAGGGCAAATTGTACCAGATGCTACCCTCGAGTCCGTCCATGAGATCCCGTCAACACATATTACCCGCCTTTATACCCTGAATATATCTGGCTCTCGGCAGCTTCTCCTGTCTCTTCAGCCGTCATTAGCAGTGCGTCTGCTTCGAAACGAGCAGGCACTGATGTTATGTGAGGCAAACTTAATACAGTACTTGAGCAAAACGCCAGCTGGCACTACCATAAAATCACCGCCTGAAGAGGAAGGCTCAAGTGGTCCATTGCTGTCCTCGTTGATACCTAAGATGCTAAAACATTCTTCCAACACCAAAGAGATGGGCTATCCGTATACCATCTTCGAGCAAGTATCAGGATCATCATTATCATCCCAATCCATCTACCTCACAGTGTCGGAACGGCGTCACGTCGACAACCAAATCGGGAAATTGGTGAGGGACTTGGCGTTAAAAACATCGCCGACAGGTACCTTCGGCCCTGTGCTTAAAGTATGCAGGGATCCCCCCGCACAGGATGCATCTTCTGGTGCAGGCGCTGGAGGAGCAGAAACTTGGTCTCTTGCCTTCGACGCACTCGCAGAAAGCATTCTTCGAGATGGAGAGGATATGTCCGTCTTGCTGCCATACGAAATCATTAGACGACAATTCTCTCGACTGTCTTGGCGACTCGAAGCAGTGACGATACCAAGGTTAACACTACCCGATGCGGGGGATGATGCGGTTGTTTTGGTGGAAAGGAGGTTGGAAGAAGGGCCGTTATCGCCGGAAGACTCGGTGCGAGTCACTGGGCTACGACATTGGAGTCGGGGCGTCTTTGGCGATCCGTTGATGTCGAGTTGCTTTGAAAACCCGACCGAGAGTTTCTCAGCTGGGTGGAAAGGGGAGGCCGACGAAGATTTAATAGAAGACCCGGAAGGCGCCAACACACGGATGATGTTATATCGATGCTACAGAGCCATCATAGATATAGTGATCGAATACTACCGCCCACGAAACGAAAGCAGCAGATTCGAAATGGACGCAAGGAAGAGGCTGACTGGTGTACTTACGGAGTTGGAAACGGTCGACATGGAAGGCAATCAGACACCGAAACGAAATAGGTCTATGGCGGCTGCTGATATGACTATGGTGAAGAAACTGAAGGTGGAGAGCGACGGGGAGTAACATATTGGGTATTGAGAAGAGCGGAGGCATTATATACCCATAAAAGCTAGAGGAGCATAAAGAGGAGCATAAAAGCTAGAGGAGCATAAAAGCTAGAGGAGCATAAAAGCTAGAGGAGCATAAAAGCTAGAGGAGCATAAAAGCTAGAGGAGCATAAAAGCTAGAGGAGGGGGCGTACATAGATTGGATCATATTTGGAATTAACTACTTATCGCGACTGGCCGGCCAGTGAATCGTCCTCATCACGAGGAAGTTTCATCCCCATCATACCCATGATATTGCCGCCGGGCCCAGCCATCCCAGCCTGGCTCTTGAAACTCTCCAGCAGATTCTTGGCCAGATTGAAGTCGATGTCGACTTCTTCATCGCTCTCATCCTCCCAGTCCTGTTTTCCAAGTAGGTCTTTGCCTTTCGATCCCCCCGAAGCTTCGCCCTGCAGTGCTGCAGTTTCCCTTGGTTTATGATCGAGTTCCAGTGCACCAGCTTCCCGTAGCTCGGCGCCAATTCTCTTCATAACCTTCCTAATCTCTTCAGCCTCGTCCTCCTCTTCTTCATCATCGGAGTCGAAATCATCCTTGGTATTTGACTGCCGCTGCAATTTCCCTTTTGCCGCATTCGTACTGTCCCCCAGATCAGCCGCAGGCACCCCCATCATCTCCCTCACCAGTCTTGCAAACTCGTTGGGATCAAAGGAAACATCCTTATCTCCATCTTCGTTTTCGTCTTCGTCCGAATCATCCTCATCATCATCGTCGTCAAAATCCATCTCATCCATCTCGGCCCCATCTACTCCGGCATTATCGTCGTTCAGAAATGACTCGAAGCGCTGCACCATCTTCTTCAAGTCCTCCTGAGTTTTCGCGTCTCCAAACCCAGAGGGCGCACTTGGCCCAGCAGACCCTTCAGGTACAGTGCCGCTTCTCACGCCTTTATTACCCTGCAATTCCTTCTCAAAATCCTCAAAGTTGATATCCAGCCAACTTTCATCGTCCTCTTTCATGCTGTTTGCCCAGCCTTTGATTTCGGCATCCGTTGGTAAATATTCTCCTTGGGAAAGATCTTCTATCAATATTTGCATTTCGCGAACAGAGCGGTGGTCGCGCTTAATGCTATCAGTAACCAACATTTCGAAACCAGAGGTAATCTTCATCCCTAGTTCTAACCTTGGCAAGTCCGCCGACTTTGCTGGATCAGACTTGGCTTTTGTTTCGTTCTCTGAGAATATTGGCTTCCATGCTCGTGGAACTTCAAATTGCTGTGACTTTAGTTGAGCATAGAGGACCTTTGTAAACTTTACGCTCACAGTAACCAGATCGTCTGGTGGGAATACCAGGCCCGAAGAAGGACCATCAAGGGGCTTTAGGCCTATTGGGTCTCTCAAATAAAACGCCTCAACTGCGGGTGCAACAGCCGCAGGGCAATTGTGAATGATGAAGGCTAGTTTCCGAGGTATCCTTGTGAGCGCGGAGTGCATCGAGTTGGAAATTTGGGCTGGGTAGTTCCGTAAACGGAAAAAGGCTTCTGTTTCCACGGGAGGCGAGTTTATAATAACATTTGGCGAGTCCTTTATTACGTCAAGGGCTTCTTGAAGTGTCAGAGGCCTCGAGACAGGGCTGGTTTTGGCGTTGGCCGACGCTGTGGTGGCGGCTGTGAGAGGAATGATCCGTAATTTTTGGTTATTAATCCACACCTAGAGATTAATTAGAATTGTTGTGAAAACCGAAATAAAACATCACATGCCCTATTATCTGCAATCTCTGGATTGAGCCAACGAGGAAGCGCGTTTGCAGCCTCGATGAGTAGGAATTCTCCATCCGTATCAACAACTTTGACCCATAAGTCTGAAAACAGCTTGGTGAGTTCCCGGAGAATGTACACAATCAACCACTCGTCCTCGACCGAATCTCCATAATTTGTCAGACCGCGAAGGTGCATTAATCCTTGGAAAGTTAGTAATTGTGGCGGGGTAAACCATTAAACAAGTTTCTCACCAGACGATTGCTCCAGCTTCAAGTTGAAGTCATCTCGTTGCCATATATAATCTTTCAATAGAGCCCCTGTCAGCTTCGTTGCTTCCTTTCGAACAAGTTCGAGGCGAGCAAGTACTTCTTTTTGTGCCAATGATGTGTTGATGATGAAAAGAGTATATTCCACAGAGTCATCCGGAAGCCTTTTTGGAAACCCATCAAAGCCTTCCCCGAACCATTTCAAATCATCTTTTTGCCCGTCCATGACTTAATTAGAAGAACACGCTTGCCTGCCTGTAATAGTTTGCAGTTGAGGCGAACTGGAGGAGGCGATGTCATGTGAAATAATATTGTCAGTAACTGGATGGGATGCCCCACAATTGTGATGGAGAATTTAAGGTTCGGCCGGGGCATCTGCATAATTGCCTGAGGCTGCCACGTGATGGATGATGTGAATGTAAACAAAGACGCGAACCTGCAACTACTCAAAGTCGCGATTTCTACCAACTTTAAGAATACTAACCCCACGACTCAGTATTTAGGAACTGCGACCGGCGTTCATTGCTACAGCAATTGGCTTATTATATTTCAATACCAACGACCGCATTACTATATTTTACCGTTAACGGAGCTCTGAGAGCTTCTTAATTCCCCACCATGGTACAGCCGGGTATTGGGCTCGACACGCCTCGAACAGAAATTGGAGATGCGACATACCTCAACAACCCCTATTTCGACATATCTGAAGAGCAATCATTTCAATCGCCTTCGAAAGATAACAATAACCTCGTCCAGCAATTACAAAATGGCCGCCGAGGCATCAACCTGAAGACTCCACGAAGTCGCGCGCCTTTTGGAGACAGGCGCAATACGAATAATAACGGCTTCGGAGGAGAGTTCACACCTTTGCTGAAAAGCGCTACAAGAAACAACGCTCTGAAGTTAGGCAAGGAAAATGGTGTCCCAAGAACTCCAGCGTTCCTCAGGCCCGGTGGCTTGGACAACATCGCGGAGGACTTAAGCCCAGTGCCGAACATGGACTCGACGTACGCCGACTCGTATGCGAGTGGAACGCCTATACCCCAGATTGATAGCAGCAGCCTCGCATCGACGCCGCTGGCTATGTTGCCGCGGCGGGCCGAAGGAGCGAATATACTTCAAGACGGCAACCAACTCTCACTGCGTGAGCAAGAGAACGTGATCGACAAAATCGAGAAGGAGAACTTTGGTTTGAAACTGAAGATTCATTTCCTGGAAGAGGCTCTACGGAAGGCAGGGCCAGGCTTCAGCGAAATGGCATTGAAGGAAAACACAGACCTCAAAGTGGACAAAGTCACCATGCAAAAGGAATTGCACCGCTATAGGAAGACATTGACTACTGCGGAACGCGACCTTGAGTCTTATCGTCAACAAATCCTGGACATGCAAGAGAAGGTGAAGCGGAGGCACGCCGATGAAGGCGCACAGGAAGAGCTGGATCTTCTCCGCCAAGCTCTACACGATAAGGAAATTGAAGTGCAGGACCTACAACAAAAACTCGAAAGCTCAGCAGATCAAAACGAAGACGTGCAGAAGTTACGGGACTCGGTCACGGATTTGGAACACGATGTTCGCGAGAAAGATCGGATGATAGGCGAGCGAGATGACCAGATTGATAACCTGAAGGCTCAAGTCAATGAGGGCGACGACGAAGTCTTGGAACTCGAAGAGAAGGTCAAGGCAGCTAAGCGGAGAGAGATTGAGCTGGAGGAGAAGGGCCAGTGGAACGATGAGCTTGAAGAAGCCATGGAAACCATTTCAGACCTCGAACAAGACATCAAACTGCTCCAAATCGAGCTTGATGATGTCAAGGACAACCGCGAAGAATTGGCCTCTGAAAAGGAACGCGCGATGGCAGACCTTGAGGAGCTTCAGGATGAATTGGCAAACAAGTCCATCACAACAAAGGGACTTAGCCGCCAAATCGAAGAGAAGGCCAACCGCTTGCAGGACGACTTGGAGGACCTTCGTGAAAAGCACGAAGCGCTGGAGCAGGAGCACAAGTCAAAAATCCAAGAGGCGGATAGGCTACAACAGAGAATCACAGATCTTGACCAAAGCGGAAGTGCCCGGGAGATTAAGCTTCGCGAAGAGTTGGATTCAGCCGTCAAGGATAGAGACCATGCAGAAAGCCAGCAGCATGCGCTCGAGGCCCAGCTGAAATCTGTCCAAACTGAGCTGCATCACATTACGGATCAAAAAGATCTCCTCCAAGTTCGCCACGATGCACTGACTGCCGAATCCGCCCAGCTCCAGATGGAGTTGTCACGAGCAAAGGCTAGAATCGAAAATCTTGAAGAGGATCTACAGAGCGAGAAGTCGTTGTCGCTACAAAATGAGCGCGAAGTCAGAGAACAGTACAAATCAGAAATTGATCGTCTGCATGACGAGATTGAAGATCTTCGTGCTGATGTTCGAGAGAAGGAACGTTTGTACGATGACGATAACGACAAGTGGGAGAGCGAGCGCCGCACCCTTGAATCGCAGCGAGATCTAGCAGAAGAACAAGCGGAGGGCCTGAAGCTTACCATTGAGAAGCTGCAACAGGTTGAAGGTGCCCTTTCCGGCAAGGAATCGAAATTGCAAGAGGCTGTTTCCCTGGAGAAGGAGAGGCATTTACGCGAAGAGGCTCTCTTGACGAAGCAAATCGACGAGTTGACCTCGGATCTGCAGGTTCGCCAAAACAGCTTGGACGAGGCTCGATCGGAGCTCTCCAATGTGAGAGAGGAGTTGCGACTCAGCCAACGTGAGCACAAGTCTCTTTCCGAGAAGATTGAAGCTCTGGAGGACGAAATTGAGGTTCTTCAAACTTCTTTGGACGAGGAGAACGACCGCGCGCAGGTTAACCTAGAGACCGCCAAACACGAGTCTGAAGCCCTTCAACAGCAACTAGACCAGCTGAAACAAGATGTTGCAAATGTCGAATCCAAGTCAAACTCAACTTCGATCCAAGAGCAAAGCTCATCTCTCAAGGCTCTTGAGACAAAGCTGGCTCAAAGCACCAAGAGTGAACAGGCCCTACAAGACCAGCTTGCCAACATCAACCTCGAGATGCACTCTCTCCGCAACCACTCCAACGAGTTAGAAGCAGAGCGAGACGAGATCAAGAGCCAGCTGCGTGATCTAAAATCGCAAGACGACACCTTCCGCGCCGACCAAGAGAAGATCGAGCTCCGCACCGCCAAAATGAAGCTCGACGTCGAAGTCCGGCGTCTCCGCGACGAGACTCGAGTCCTCTCCGAGCAGAAGACCATGATCGAGGTCGAACTCCAAAGCGAGCGCGACCACGCCGACGCCGACCACGCCAACTTCAAGCAGCGAGAGACGGAGTACATCCAGCGCGAATCCGCGACCAAAGAAACCATCCGCACCCTCAAACGCCAGATCAGCTCCCTCGAGCGCCAATCACATAACCTCGAACTCTCCATCCTCCAAACTTCCTCCCCCCACTCCGCCTCCACCGGCTCCATCCACCAGAGCGAAATCCTCGAAGTCCGCTCCCAGCTCGCTACCGCCCACCAAACGCTCAAAGACCTGCGCGCCCAACTCAAGGAAACCGAGCGCAACGCGGCCAAGAAACTCACCTCCGCGCACCTAGACCATCAATCCCAAGCCGCAGAATGGGATTCCGCGCGCTTCACGCTCGAGCGCGACCTCAGCGCCGCGCTCTCCGCCAAATCAGCCTTGGAAGCGCAGGCCACAGCTGCTGAATCCACAGCCGCACGCTTGAAAGCCAAGATTGCACGCTTGGAACAGGAGTTACACGCTGAGCGCGCGACGGCGGAGGGGGATCGCACGATGGCGCTCGAACGACACGATTTGCACGAGATGCTGAGGGAGACGCAGGTCCAGGCCGATAAACTCGAACTCGCCGTGCAAACCCGCGATGCGTCGCTCGCGGCGCTGACTACGACCGAAGCGTCGCTGCGCGCGCAGTTGAAGCGGATTAGAGAGGGGAGGACGGTGCAGAAGGAGCGTGCTACGCGCGCCATGACCGAGCTTGAGGGGTTGGAACGGGAGTTCCGCGGGGCGAAGAGGGGGTGGGAGGCGGAGAGACAGGGGTTGACGAGGGGGGTGAGGTTTGCGAATTCGTCTTCTGTGTTAGAGGGGGGTGCGGAGGCGGAGGTGAGGCATGGGAAGGAGCTAAGAGGATTAGCGATGCAGATTGAGTGGTTGAGGGCGAGGTGTAGGCGTGAGGAGGGGTTGAGGGCTGATGCGGCGTATGCGAAGAGGTTTATGCTGTTGCAGGTTGAGTTGTTTGGGGCTTGGTATGTCTTCTTCTTTTTCTTTTCTTTCCCCAGTTACTTTCCTCTTTTCCGTTGTCCGATATCTTCAGACACCACAAGTGAAGAGCATGTCTAACAACCACCCAGCAACCAAGCAGACCTCCAGATCCTCGCCCAAATGGGCATAACACCCGACCGCACCACCCTCCCTCCCCGCCCCTCCCTCCGCCGCGTGGGATGGATGGTTATCGCCTGTATGCGAATGAAGCGCGGCGCAGAGGCGTGGGCGAAGAGTAGGAAGGTGCATGAGAGGATTGTGGGGACGTTTGAGGGGATGAGGAGGGCTAGTGTTGGTGGTGGTGTGGGGAGGGCGGAGAAGGGGAGGGGGGGGGGAGGAGTTTAGATCCCCCTGCGTCTGCGGCTGTGGTTGCTAAGAAGGAGTCGAGGAGGGTTAGTGAGTTAAGGAGGGAGTGGTAGGGGGTGTCTGTGTTGAGAAATGTTTGAGGATGCATGCATGGGATGTTGGAGTGGCGTATGGCTGTTGGGGAGGTTGTGTTTTATATTGTACTCTGCTGTTTGATGTCTATATGGCTGGCTGGCGTTTGGATGGATGGAAGGATGGATGGGTGGGTGCATACCAATTAGCATGTTGATTATGAAGCCGTCATGTTCGCCTTGCTTGCTTATTATCTTGATGTTCTGTTCGCGCTCCATTTGGTGACCTGCGATGCGCTCACTCCTCAAGGTAACAAGATAACATGATCAGTTTCAGTCAGCCAGCCCGCCCGGCTTATTCAGCGACAACATGGTAAGTACACTAGTAATGTCCTCGATTCCATCTACGCTATCTACGCTACCAACAGACACCACGCTGCACGGCGCTATACTGTACGAGTAGAAAACCAGGCATCATCACAACGCATCATCGCAACGCAGCGCATCTAAAGTTCAGTTCAACGACAATAAAACAAGCAGTAGCGCGCATAACGCTAGCCCTTTCTCTCTCCCTTCCTTCCCTTTCTGATTCTAGTCCATCCCATCCCGGTACCTGAGACCTTGAGACTGTACGACGGTTTTTTGAGTATTCGAGTGTCGTTTGGAGATGACCTGTGCTTCGTTCCGATTTGTATCTGTGCCGGGTTTCCGCTATCCTTCATGGCGCGGTGGCAGGGAGTATAACTTGTGAGAGGGGGGTTTACATGACGAAGAGGAGGTTTGTGTCTGCGTCCGCCATTAGCACTTATTCAAATCAAACCCCCCGAATCCAAACCCCACTCGAGGGCCTGGAATAGGAAAGGGGACAACCTACCCAAAGGATGACTACAGCTCAACTGCGGCTTCTGCGTATACTTGGTCGCCAACTCATCCCTAATACTATTAAGCAGCTGCACATAGCTCTGCTGCGGATTCTTCTTCATCGCCGTAATAAACGCCCAGCTCATCGCCCCCGTCGCCTGCGACGCAATCGACGCATCCGCACTCGTCTGATCATCCTTGCTCCCACTCCACATCACAACATCCGCCGGCGACGTCTTGGTCGCCACCGTCCTATTGTAGGCCTCATCCCCACTAGTAGCTTTCTTAAAGAAGCCCGCCAAGTTGCTGGCCACGCCGCCCATGTCGCCGCGGGAGTACGAGGAAATAACGTTGAGGAGACCTTGACCGGCTTCTTTGGCGAGGTTGGGCTCTTTGAGAATGCCTTGCGTGGAGTAGATGTAGGGGAGGTCAAGGGCGGTGCCGGAGTGGCAGGAGTCGAAGATGGCGGTGAGGCGCACGCCGGGGGAGAGGGGGGTCACCATGATGCGGTGCATTTCGTCGTCGACGATGTGGCCGACTTGGCGGAAGTCGACGGGGTAGATGACCTCATCGTAGCCGTCGGGTTCGTCGCCGTCGAGGTCTTTGGTTTGGCCTCCGTGTCCTTGGTGTTCGTTAGTAACAGTTCCACGCAGTACGTAGGTAAGTAGGGCGGGGGGATCCCAGTGACAGAGAGAAACAGCGGATACGGACATACCGGAATAATGAAAAAACAACGCATCATTCGGCCTCGCATCCTTAACCAACCAATGCATCGCCCTCAGAATATTCTGCTTCGTCGGCTGGCTCATCGGGTTCTGCAGATCATCCGTCAGGATCACCATGTCCTCGCGCTTATACCCAAAGTTCTCAAACAGGTACGATGACATGTTCTTCACGTCGTTGATGCACCCGCGCAGCTGCCCGCGCTGCCCGAAGTAGTTGATCCCGATCAGCAGCGCCTTGCGACGGCCCGTGCAGTTCGAGTATTGGAAGTTGTAGTCCTGGGGGGCGCCGTGGCCGAAGCCTTGGGGCGTGCTGGGTGGAGGGGCGGGCGCTTGGTGGTTGCCGTGCACGTAGGCGTTGGAGTTGACGGTTGGCAGACCTGGAGAAGGGTGGTTGTTAGCTTCGTGTATTTCTAGGTTTTCTCGCCGGTGTGGTGTTCGTACCTGGTCTGCCATACTCGGGGCGGTTCAGGGGAACACCGTTGTATCCGCCGTATTGCTGAGGAGGCGGCTAAGAAGTCTTGTTAGCTTATTGCGGAGATGACCATCATCAGAAGCTCTATTTACCTGCTGCTGCTGGTAACCACCACCATAGTGCTGCTGCGGCGGCGGACCCTGCTGGTATCCGGCGCCATACTGCTGCTGCTGGGGAGCGCCGTAGCCGCCGTATTGTGGTTGTCTGTTCAAGGGTGTCAGCTGGATTCGGACGCGAGTGCAAACCTCGAGCCTACGACTGGTAATGCTGTTGGGGCGGGTACTGCTGCTGAGGAGGACCATATCCACCACCGCCGCCGCCGCCGCTGCCGCCACTATAACCCGCGCCTGGATACCCCGACATGGTTTGGATTTCTTGCAAAGGCTGTGAGTGCGTGTGCGTGTATGTGTGTGTGAGTGTGTTTTCGTGAGGTTTTTTGGTGATGTTGGAAGTGGCGACTGATGGACAACAGACGCGGGCTTTTCCGTGTTGGTCGATTCGATGGAGAGGGAGGAGGAGCGAGGTGAGGTCTGGCGGCGGGACTTTGGTTTGGCCGAGCTGTCTGAGGGAACTTATAGTCTCGGCGGGTAGGGGATCAGGGACATGCAAGACAAGACAGCGGAACAACAAGGGTTCGGCGACTGGAACAAAGGTGATGGATGTGCAGGTGGGATATGCAGGTTGTTTTTACAGATTGTTTATTTGGGTGGCGGTTGGTTGTATGTGGTTGTATGTGGTTACGGAGTTAGCGATGAGGCTGCTGTGGCTGCTGTGGCTGCTGACTAATACCATCTCCTCCCCCCCGCAAATACCCCAATAGCCCTTACCAATTCAATCAAATCGGACAGATGGCCGAGCGGTCTAAGGCGCGTGACTCAAGAACTTACAATTCTTCTGGTCGATCATTAACGCCTAGTGCATTCACGTATCGAAAGATTCGGGGGTTCGAATCCCCCTCTGTTCAGATCTTTTATGGTTCTTTTTTGGTCCTTTTTTGGTCCTTTTTTGGTTCTTTTTATGCCCTTTTTTATGTCCTTTTTTCCCCCCTTTTTTGTCCTTTTTTCCCCCTTTTTTTGCCCTTTTTACCACCCACCCATCGGCCAGACCGTCCTCTGTCCCACCCACCTCGCCTCCATCGTCTCGTGTAGTACCCACCCCACCCGCCCCACCCACCTCATCTTCGGCCCGGCGGCACCGAGGTCCGTCACCAGCTGTGTGCGGGGCGCGGCGTGGCCGATGTGCCACACCTGAGCCACACACCGCCGCAACCCACAACACACGCCAATCACCCACGATCGGCCCGGAGGAGGGACCTTGCTGCCACGAGAGAGCAGTGCTGATCAGACTTTGGAGATGCTGGTTGTGCCCAGTGCTGAGGATGGGAGGGTATTTGTACTGCTTTGGGATGTTCAGCTCGGTGGTGTTGTTGGCATGGCGGCGGTGCAGGAGGTGGAGGGGGGGCATGATGTGTGGAGTTCTCACTCCGTGCCCTGGAATAGATAGGGGCGCTGGTTTTACTGATGCCCTAGAGCTGCCTCACCCTTAGGCTGGTGAAACAGGGCACTCTGGCCCCTGAATTAGCTTAGGGGAATGGTGTCACAGTATATAGAGTAGTTATGGTATGTAGCTACTTTGGATATGCATCTACTGAACCTACCAAGCGCACTTCAACATGATGCCCCTATTCACTGCTGATGGTAATCACCCACGAACATGCACATATCATGGACGGTACACTGCTTGCTTACTTTGAATTCGGTTGTACATATCTATCCAACAGTATAGTACAATACATACATCTAACACATTTTCCGCCCATCCATCATACACCTCCACACCTACGCCCCTCCCCCATGTTTATCCATCTCCCCCTCCACATCCCCATGCAAATCCTGACTCCCCCCCCTCGCCACCATTTCCGCCTTACTCGGCCGAAACGGCCACCTCATAAACTCCTCAAACATCTCCCTCAACATCTCCTCCGTCAAGCTCCTCACCGTCAACATCTCCAAATCCACCACCCCCCCCCGCCCCACATCCCTCAACGCCGGACACCGCGGCAGAATCCACTCCTCCGCCCCCGGCGCCAGCGCCCGCACCCCAGCAACCACACTCTGCTTCGGCATGATAAACAGCGCCGCGAGCATAAACTCAAAGTAGTCGTAGCAACCCAACCCCTCCGCCCTGAGACTCGGCCAGATGCTGCGAGGCTGGAAATCCAGCAGTGCCATCGGTTGCGCAGGCGCGAATTCCGACCGCTTGACAATCAGCGGCTCCATCGCGCGGCGATCCCACACCAGAAGCGCCGGCTCAGCCCGGTGCCCGCGACGCTCTTCGAGGCGCTGGATAACAGCCGTCACCGTCGCGCGCGCCCCCGACTCCAGCGCGCGGCGCCACTCCCGTATCCCCTCCTCCACCCTCTGCATGCCCTCCTCGCGCCCCGGATCGCTCGACGCGCGTAGGGCAGCCCACTCGTTTTCAAGCGCCTCGTAGCTATCCAGCCGTGACTCAACCAAATCATTCACGACCCCCACCGCTTTCAGGCGCCATCGTAGGGCTTGCAAGCGTCGGAACTCCTCTGTGCGGCGCCTTGTGCCGTCGAGCGTGACCTCGGGCGTCGCGCAGTGGTGGGATTCCACTTCATCGTAGAAATCGGGGAATTCCCCGGCCGCGTACCGTGACTCGAGGGTCGCGAGCTCGTCTTCGAATGGGCGTCGGATGCCGATGTTGGGGGTGGTGGCGGCGAGTTGCGAGGTGCGCGCTTCCCTCTCCAGGATCCCCTCGCGGTGCGGCGGGGTGTGCAGGCCTGCAGCTGCCATGGCGGGGGCGACGCGCTGGCCGGAGAGCATGTCGATTGCCTGTTCGCGGCGGTAGTTTTCTGTTTCCAGGTCCCCCCCCGCGACTTCATGGATGTATTCGCACGAGATCTCGGCTTCAATGCTGGATTTCCGCCGGTTGATGATGAGGCGGGGGAGGACGATGCGTTTCTCGAGATCGTGCATCCAGATTAGCATGCGCACTTGCCCGTAGCCTTGGAAGACGGAGTGGGCGCGCGTGGCGGTGAGGAGTTGGTGGACGACCAGGGTGGTGACGGAGGGGAAGCCGATGTAGGGGCGGCGCGGCCAGTACCCTAGGTTGGCGGTGACGAGGAGTGTTGTGTTGGGGTTTTCGAGCGAGGGGTCGCCGGGGGAGAGAAGCTTTTGGTGGGGAAGGTGGCCGTCGCGTTCGAGCTTGTTGAGGTTGTTCCAGATGATACCTGACATGGGGAGAAGCTTGTAGGTGGAGTCCTTTTGGTTCAATAGGGGCTCAAGGTACGGCTGCTTATATGTCGAGGAGTCGGGCTCCATGAGGATGTGAGTCCTGGGCTTCACGATATCGTGCAGTTTAGACGACCACAAGCCAACTCCGGGATTGATGTCAATTATATCACACCCCTTGTGCTTCTCAAGGCTCGGAGCTAGTCGTTGTATAATATCATCTGGTTGGGATTAGCTATAGAGCTCTGACAGGTCCCAGTGCAACATCCATACCACATAATTCCTCGCCGATAATATTCTGACGGGCTTTGTCTCCGCGTTTGCCAAACGCAATGCGTGATAAACTTCTGACGCTTTTCCGCTTGCTGGTTCCTAGGCGAATCTTGTTAGTACCGGCCTACTCGCGTAGTGTACAGTTTTGTGTCCCCTACCTGCATCTGTCTCCGCTTCGCCTTCTGGCATCGCGGCTCGGGCTCCATGCAACACATCTTCAAATGTTTTCTTCAGAAGCGGCCCCTTAAGTATTCCGGCATCACTTCTCTTCTTCCTCGGTTTTGTTGATGGGGTCCTGGGTTTCGGCGGAATCCCACTATTACTCCCCCCCCTCGACGTTCCTGCATCGCTCCTCAGTTTGCGCGTTTTCTTGCCAGTTTTTGGGCCCTCAGCAACGGACTCATCAGTCTTCAGTTGTTTCTGCCCAGACTTGGAGCCACCTGTCGCACTTGTCGCTCTAACCGGACCTCCATCGCTGTATGCTCGAATTAATCCTGTAGCTGGCCGGCAGCACGGATAAGTGAGGGCTGCGATAGGACGTAATCGATTTCGTCGTCTATTTACGAGACGAACAGCCAACATCAATTCTGATTGCACTGTTTGCGAATTCGAGTGGCTCTGGCGACGGGGATATTATGCTATTTTGAAGTATCGGAACTGACGTTGGCATCTCGAACAATCAAAAAGGATGCAGGGACGACCGCCTTAATTCTGCCCTCGAAATGTGACAAACCGACTCACCGCCCTAGCCTCGTCGGCCTGTCGACCAACAAGGTACAACAACAACCGCCATGGAACCTGCGTCAGCTGAAATCGCATCGTTTGCCTCAGCAAACTTCGGAGCTCCCCAGGCACCAGCCAACCTTCCCGATCTTTCTGGGACCTCCCGTGATGGTTAGGGAGTGTTGCCTCAGCTTTTCATCATCAATCATCAAACCTCATAACCCCGCCGAACATTCTACAACCCCGCAGTACCTACAATTATCACGAACAAAAGATGGGAGGCTCTTCGGCCGAGGCAGCGATGCCGATGAGCATTGCAGAAATTGCTGCGCGCGCCCAGGACTTCGAATATGACCCTTACATCAAGCTCAAAGTCTGGTTGAGGACTGCTGAGCTCTTACTGCGCGAGGTTTGCCTCAACATCACATTTGCATGCATGTAACCGCTGACAGTATTGCGCCAGGCCCAGATATACGAAGACGAAGGCAATATTCAACAAGCTTATATGCTCCTCATGCGATTCGTTATCTTGGTCGCCGAAAAACTCTCTGCTCACCCCGACAGTAAAGATCCCGCGAACAGAAGGGCGCTGAAGTTGATGATCAAGTCCATACCCGACGCCGTAGATCGACTCGAGATGCTTAAACCGAGGATTGTCGCTCGATATGATGCTTGGCAAACCACACATGAAGGATGGGATGAACCTGCGGCAGATTTATGGGATGGCCAGAGACGCGGGCCTATGAGACGACCCTCAAAATACGCGGAAGCGGACCCTGCGATTGCTGGAAGAGCAAAAACCTTGGAAGCATCTGAGCACAGCGGCCTTGCCGTCAAACTTGCACACAAAGAAATTCGGAGACGAGACGATATTCGGAGAACAACCCGGCAGGGCGACGACAGAGATCAAATGGGTTATGAAGGGGGTGACGACGGCGTCGACTTGCAGCGCCGTATGGAAGATACCAGGAGGAAGATGGATTCCAGAGATCGAGACACGGACGGAACACGAAAGAAGCTCACGAAATTACACCCATCAGCAAGCGAACCAAGTTCATCGGCGCCGCGCAGCAGCGAATACAGATACCCTTCGATTGCCAAGTCAAGGCCGTTTAAGTACGAAGACAAGCCCGCCGAGATCGAGAGGAATTTCGGCAGAGAATCCGCACCTCCAGTCCCTTCAAAGCAAGTAATCAAACCCACGATATCATGTGAGTCTCCAGCTCCGTTGCGGCCAGCGAAGCTTCTCAAGGACGCTCCACCAAGCTCCACCCCCTCCCCGGTCGACGACCCCTCCGCATACACATTCAAACCATCCGCTTACCTCGAAAACGGCTCACCTCTCCGCACCCTATTTCTTCCTACCATGCTCCGCGAGTCCTTCCTGTCCATTGCGCGGCCCAATACCCAAGCGAATCTCGAGACATGCGGTATCCTGTGCGGGACCCTCATCTCCAACGCGCTTTTTATTTCACGACTGGTGATACCCGAGCAAGAGAGTACCTCTGATACCTGCGAGACGACGAATGAAGGGGCACTGTTCGACTATTGCGACAAGGAGGATCTGATGGTCTTGGGCTGGATTCATACGCACCCGTCTCAAACGTGCTTTATGAGCAGCAGGGATCTGCACACACATTGCGGGTATCAAGTGATGATGCCTGAGAGTATCGCGATTGTGTGTGCCCCGAGCAAGAGTCCCTCGTGAGTCCTCCCCATGTACTGTCTCTAACCGGTTATGCAAAGCTAATATCTACACAGTTGGGGCGTTTTCCGCATGACCGATCCCCCAGGCATGAAGTCGGTGCTGAATTGTAGACAGACCGGACTATTCCACCCACATCCGGAGCCTAATATCTACACCGATGCGATGAGGCCAGGGCATGTTTTCGAGACACCAGGACTGGAATTTAAGGTCGTGGATTTGAGGCCCTAGGCAGAGATAGTGGCGGGATAGACTTAAGATATGGCATGAAATGGCTGGAGCATAGCAGAGTGTTGGCGTCTTGGGCGACGAAGCATGGGCTAGACACGGCGTTCAATCTGCCAATTGGCAACCAGGCATTGCAGTTATTTGCTTCAGGAGACAATGGTACATCTTTCCATATCTCAGAAGTCGAATACAATCAATCCTATGATACAAGCTGGCCCCGGCCTCTCCCCGTTACCACATCACCCCACTATATGTATGTATATCTTTCAACCCCAACCATTCCCTCTGTAACAGACTGTATCCCATTGTACCGTCCAGTCGCTCATAGATCGCTACCCCAACACACTTAATCCTACCCGAGCACCCTCAAGTAGAACCTATACGTCGCTATCAAAATCAACACCCACATCAGCACCTTCACCCAAGGGTTCTCGAGCCACGACTTTGACGCAATCCCATCCAGCGCATCTTTTGGAGTCGTGTGTGCCCCCGATTTCTCAGATCGATGCCCAGTAAGTCCGCGATCGTTTTGGTGGTCTTGGTAGTCGAGGTATGTCTTGTGACCTGACGTCTCGTAGGTGGGGAAGTCGAGAGGGGGATCGTTGGGGTCGAACTTGAAGCCGGGGTTTTCGGTCGTCGGGGTAGTCATATTCGATTTTCGAGAGGAATTAGATGATGTTGGTGAGGAATTGCAACTTTGGAAGTTGTGGAATTAATGAGGAGGCAGGTATTGAAGGGTGGTTGTTGGGTGCGATATTCATGACGTTGAGATGACGATTTATCATATGACGACGGTAGCTTTCGAGACATTTATCTACAAACCTGAAAGTAATAACTCCCTCAAGTATGTAACTCTGTCATATTAGTAGAGGAATAAATTTTGATCTTAATGGTGGTAATCGGGACTAGTTGGTGGCACTCGTGATGGTTGAGGTCGGCGGATAACCACCAAACCACACATAAGTTGGAAAGTGTACCATAGATGATTTGTTTCAAGTCCTTGATTAGAGTTGGAAGAGGTCAGTTGGAAGCTTCTACATAGCTCAACCAAGTCTGCCTCGTTCGGAATTGTCGTGCTTATGACTGACCCTCCTTACTGTTTTTCGTCCGCCGCCGGACAGCTTCATTATCTTTCCCTTTAAGCAGCATGGTTTCCTTCCCCTCCTCCACCTGGGACGTATTATTGTCATTCGGGTTGGCAACCCAGGTATCCACCACTTCCCTAACCTCCTTCACTGCCTTCTCCTCCATGACTGATTCTTTAACCTTCCTAATATATCCAAAATATACTCCGACTTCTGCCACGGCCACCAATATGCTTCCTGCAAAAGATAGTGCCAGTCGAGCGGGAGTGCTCCACCACTTCGAAACCATCCACAACGCCGCAGAGCATGCAATGATGGAGACGAGAACGTTGAGGATAAGGGTGAGCTGGCGAGTGACATCGTCATAGGTTATTTCATCATCGGGTGAAGCTTCGATATATGCTTCTGTCGAGGCGAAAGCAAAGGCTGGTGATGTCGCTGGTAGGTTCCTCGAGTATGTTTCCGACGCCGGGGCTGGCTTTGTCAATCGGACATAGTCGCGTTCTTCAGCATCGCGCCGGAGCCGGGCCATGAGAGCTTTGTATTCGGGAGTTTGCGTGGGTTTAGGAGGCGGAGGGGGTATATAGACATGAGACCCGCGGAGTAGGGCGTCGAGGTGGCATGGTATAGCATTGATAGACTTAAGCTGTCGGGAGAGGGCGACGATTTGGAGGTGGCTTATAGGATTGCCAGGCTTTGGATCTTGTAAGGACGGCTCGCTGGAGGGATTTTGCTGAGAGATGATTTCGGATTGGGGTATTTGTGCTGTCTGTGTTTCCTCTCCTCTCCTAGAATCTTGAATATCGGTTTTGATTGCGCCTGCTTCGTTGGAGCCTGGGGCCAAGGCTGCATCTTCATGAATACCCTGGGAGGCAACTGCCCCTGTGGTCATTGTAGATGTCTCGACGTTGCGAAGACCCTCCACAATGACGGGGGTCATCGTAAGTAGCACCATGTCGACCGAATTATAACTTTGAAGCCAAAATAAAGTGGTCAAGGTGCGTCGGTGTTTCTGGGATATTCCTGTAGACAACGGAGGACTGCAAGGCTGCGGAAAGCGCGACGGAGTAATAGTTTATCCGTGTCTTATCGTCGGGATGGGTCCCGCCCAAAACATTTGTAATGTTCGAAATCAAGCTTCTGCCAAACAAATCTTCGACGCAATCGAACCCGCAATACCTCGCAGCGCGCTCTCTGCTGTCGACAGGGGAGCCATTAAGACGGGGCTGCAGGAATTGCCCATATATCCTGCTTAGCAGACCAGGGAGGCTATGAAAATCCGGTCGCCGAGAGCTTCATTGCTCTTTTCTCGTCCAGGAGTAACAACCACGCAACCTCGACAAGTCTGCCTACAATGCCTTTCCGCCAGCCGGGCGCAATGGTCGCCTTCTAATTCGAGGCTATTTAACCTATCAAGCCGACAACATGCGGGATCATGGGCCCAGGCAGCTAAATTGGCTGCCAATGTCATTTCCAATGCGACATCACAACAAGGCAGGGTGGATCGCCAAATCAGCATTGATCCCCTCAGGATAGTAGCAAAAGAGATGAAATTCTTGAGTGGGAATATCAGACAGCTATTAGGTTCCGGGCATCCTAGTCTGGACAAAGTTGCGAAATACTACACCCAGGCAGAAGGGAAGCATTTCAGGCCACTTCTTGTCCTATTAATGTCGCGCGCCACAGCACTGACACCAAAATGCTCGACATATGATCCCTCGAAACCCTCCGCCAATATAAACAGTGGCATTTCGCGCCCAGATATCCTCTTAGATCACAATCCTACAAGCCCTGGAACAAACCCTCTTACGGATCCGGCATATGCATACTCGCCAACTGAAAGCGACATTCTGCCTTCACAACGGCGCCTCGCCGAAATAACTGAGCTAATTCACACGGCTTCTCTCCTCCACGACGATGTAATTGACCACTCTGACTCGAGACGGGGATCACCATCTGCCAACGTTGAATTCGGCAACAAAATGGCTGTGCTTGCGGGAGACTTCCTCCTGGGCCGCGCATCCATTGCTCTTGCTCGTTTACGAGATGCAGAGGTTGTTGAGCTGCTCGCTACTGTCATCGCGAACCTTGTTGAGGGAGAATTCATGCAGCTGAAAAACACGTCCCGGGATGAGAAGAACCCCCAGTGGACAGAAGAGGCGCTCACATACTACTTACAAAAGACATACCTCAAAACGGCGAGTTTGATCAGCAAAAGTTGCCGCGCGGCTGCGCTTCTGGGAGGAAGTGATAATGTAACAGTCGAGGCGGCATATAGCTACGGAAAAAACCTGGGTCTGGCGTTTCAGCTTGTAGACGATATGTTGGATTATACTATTACCGAGAAGGAACTTGGAAAGCCAGCCGGAGCTGATTTGGAACTTGGCTTGGCCACAGCGCCTCTGCTATTTGCCTGGAAGAACAACCCAGAGCTTGGTGCGTTAGTTGGGAGGAAGTTTGCCGAAGAGGGCGATGTCTCAAGGGTAGGTGACTTCTGATGAACCCCAGCAACATTAATCCGTTTGAACAATCTCTAACATGAAACAGGCGAGATATATCGTCTCTCAAAGCGAAGGAATTGAGCAGACACGTGCCTTGGCAAGAGATTACGCGGATCAAGCTCTTGCGGCTATTGAGCCCTTCCCGGAGAGTGAAGCCAAGGATGGGCTGAGGGAGATGGTCGCCAAGACGATTAACAGGAGGAAGTAGGGTTATTCGATAGTGTGTATACATATGAACTAGACGGAGCATGGTTGGTGGTCTGAAGTTTTGTATAGATCAATGTTAGATGTATTATATATGACGGGTAAACAACACATCCCGCTTTTACGTTGAAGGGGTTAGAAGTGTAAGGCAGCATATATCAATACTACTTTACTGTACCACCATTAAAGCCAAGTTAGCAGCTATTTTCTGTATTCTCGACGCCTGTTCACACTGAGCTTTTTGCTGCTTTGGATAAGGCCCAGGACACCAAGAAATTAAGATTAGAAATGAGATACCCAACTTGCGTCTACCCAAACAAATGAATCAGTATCATATTTTCGTAAACAGGTTTGCTGATTCTTCAAATATAGCCAGCTGAGAATAGTGCCTGCCTCAATAGGCCACTTCAGCATCGTAATTTGAGTGTAGCAGCATACAGTCAACTTCCGTTAAGTCGATACAATTGGTGACACGTGTAAATATCGTAAAAGTGAAAATATCGTTATATTGAAATGCCAAGTATTATGTAATCCACTTATCCAATGTCTCCTGAACCAAGGAATTAAGCTGAATTGCCTCAATTTCGCCCTCCAAACGCTCTAATGCCCTGAGGTGATCGGCTTGGAGAGCATCCTGACACTCCATATACTCAATCAGAACTTTAAGGGCATTGCGAGCATCAGAGGCTGAATAAACAGCCTCTTTAGTCTCAGGCTCCTCTTCTTGCTCATCATTTTGAGTAGGATCACTAAGATGCTCATCCAAAATCTCCTGTAGTATACCCTCCTCATCTGTTGTAACTTCTGTATTGTTGATTTGCTCGTCGATAGGATTTAAAAAGTTCGAAATAGCCATTGAATCATGTATATTGCCAGCTTGAATAACTTGTTCGTATAGTTGTGAAAGGTCTGTTGTAATGGTGGGTGCACCAGATGTGAGAATCTAGCCACCCAAGGAAGGGATGAATTTACTAAGACAACACACTGTCTTAGAAAACAGAGCCAAAGGGTCGTAGCTTAGACTATTCCACAACGCAGCAATCAGGTGTGTGATGTAGTGAAGTGGTTCAGACAAGTTGCAACAAATGTTGAGTCTGGGAACTTAGGGGTAAGTCAGAGGTTAACACCTCACTGACTTTTCAGAAACAAGGAGTAACAAGATGAATGCTTGGAAGCTTGGAAAAGACGTGGAAGTATGTGATAGTCGATTTACTGTATTGTCTACTTGCCCTTTCTTAAGGAAAGGGCAATCCTATTTATGCTAAAGGAGTGTAGTTCTCTCATTTTCCAAGACTTTCCATGATTACCAGGCTTGGTAACTGTAGTCGACGTAAGAGAATCCCATAGAACCATCTCTTAGGTTCGTAGCCTATAGGAAGTAAAAGGAGGTCCAAGGTCAGAGTACCCCTATAGACAAATTATGTCATAGACAAATTATGTCATAGACAAATTATGTCATAACTTAACCAATCTTGTGGGTAACTAAAGAGCGATGACATGTAATGAATCATAGAGGTTCGTAGGAGCTTTTAGAGCTATCGTTCATGCTCCTAGGCCTCTAGTTGGTAGAGATATGTCATGTGGTAGTATGAGTGATGTCATGTAATGAATCATAGAGGGTTGTAGAGATATGCTATGTGGTAATATCGGCCCAGTAACTAAGGAGCGATGACGTGTAATGAATCATAGATGGTTGTAGCAATCGTTGAGTAGTATTGCTCTTGTTGTTGGTGTGATAAGCCAAAATATGTATAGTGACTTGTAGGTTTGAGGAGGAGATTTCCAAGTTTGCTCTTGAGTTTGATAGCAAACTGAGTGCAACGAATGTCAGTATGACATGATACCCCTCTTAAGGACGTTTGTTAGCTGTGTGCTTGCCCTTTAGCCAGGTGGCTTTCTTAGAAAAAAATTCTAGAATCAGCTTGGATGCATTTTTTAGATTTCTCTTAGGTTCCCAAGTGTTGTCACTTGTAGGATAGCCTTTCCACTTAACGAGGAAGTAGTCCTGACCTCTAAGTGTCTTTTTGTCAAGGATAGACTCTACTTCATATTCTGGTTGATCCAAAATCAGAACAGGAGGTGGAGGAGACTGAAGTGGTCTTAAGGAACTTTCTTGTGCCTTAGACAAGAGAGATGCATGGAAGACATTATGGATAGTCCAAGTAGGTGGTAATGCAAGCTCGAAAGCATTCTTGCCAATAGTCCTTGTGATCTTAAAGGGTCCAAGTCTTTTAGTATCAAGTTTGTCTGATGGTCTAGTAGTTGTGATATGTCTTCTAGACAAAAAGACTTGATCACCAACTTTGAATTGTGGTGCAACCACCCCCCTGTTAAAGGCCTGAGCCTGCTCGTCTTGTGCACGCTGTATTTGGACCTTGAGATAGTCCTGGAGGCCCTTAAGGTAGATGATTCTTTCAGTAGCAGAAGGGTTTTTGAGATTTTCAGGACAATTAAGTTTTGCCACTTCAAACCTAGGGTGATAACCATAGTTTGCATAGAAAGGTGTCTCTTTTGTGGTGTTAGAGACCGTGTTGTTGTAAGCAAATTCTGCAAGATGGAGAAGATCTGCCCAGTTGTCTTGAGCATAGTTTGTATAAATTCTTAGATATTGTTCAAGTACAGAGTTGACTCTCTCTGTCTGGCCATCTGTTTGAGGGTGATAAGCTGTAGAAAAGCGTTGTTCCATGTTTAAGAGTTTAGAGAACTCCTTAAAAAAGTTTGAAGTGAAAACTGCTCCCCTATCTGAGATCCAGTGTCCAGGAATTCCATGATATTTAAAGACCACCTTGAGGAATAGCCACGCAAGTTCAGAAGCTGTGATAGTCTCATTGCAAGGCTCAAAGTGTGCCATTTTTGTGAGCCTTTCTACCACCACAAGGATAGAGTCATAAGGGGTAGCACCCCCTTTTGGGATAGAAGGAGGCAACTTGACTATAAAGTCAATGGATATGGAGTCCCATGGGCGTTCTGGTATAGGTAGAGGCTGCAAGAGGCCATAGGGCTTTTGCCGTGTAGGTTTGTTCAAGTTGCAAGTAGTGCAAGAAGATATATAGTCTTGAAGAGTAGTCCTTAGACTAGGCCAGTAGAACTTTCTTGTTAGAAGTTCATAAGTTTTTGCAAAGCCAAAGTGCCCTGCAGCTGGAGCATCATGGAACTGCTGTAGGAGGTGTAGCTGTAATCGTTTATCCCTTGGGACATAGATATAGCTCTTGAATAAGAGAAGTCCTTGCTGATTTTTTGAGAAATTTTGTAGTCCAACTTTCTCAAGAGAGGAGCCTTTCTTCTGGAGGTATTCCAAAGTTCTTTTGGCAAAGGGATCGTGGTTGTAAGCATCTTTGAATGCTTTAAGAAGTGTTGCTGAGGGTGTATAGTCTTTAAAGGTCTCTGGTTTCTGAGAAGAGGTAATGGGGGCAACTTGGTTTTGAAGGGATAAGTTTCCCTCTAAGTCCTCTGTAGTGCGAGGGTTGCTTAAAGATGCTGCTATAAGCTTTGTAGAGTCTAGCAGGGCCTTTGTATTGCTTGTTTTAGCAGAATCTTGGTAGTCATGTCTTCTTGAGAGGAGATCTGCTCTTTGATTCTTGGCCCCTGAGACATGTTTTATAACAAAGTCAAAACCTCCTAGTTGTTCAGACCACCTTGCTTGTCGTCGATTGAGCTGTTTAGTGGTTGTAAAGGTCAAGAGATTTGAATGGTCACTGTAAATAGTGATAGGATAGTTTGCCCCTTCAAGGTAGCATCTCCAATGCTTTAGAGAACATACTATGGCAAGCAGTTCCTTGTCTGTAATGGGATAGTTTTGTTCGGCTGCTGATAGCTTTCTTGAGTAAAATGCCACAGGCTGTAGCTCTTCTTGTTTGTCTTTTGGAGCTTGGTATAAGATTCCAGAAATGGCAAAATCTGAGGCATCTGTCTCAAGAGTGGCAGGTTTCAAGGGGTTAAAGTGTAGTAACATTTTCCCTTCTTTGAATTCTCCTTTAAGAGCATCGAAAGCATCTTGCTGTGTCTTATCCCAGTGATACAAAGTGTCCTTGTGAAGTAATTGAGTAAGGGGTAAAGCCAAGGATGTATATCTTGGTATAAACCTCCTGTAATAGTTGGCAAACCCAAGGAAAGACTGAACCTCTTTAATGCTGGAAGGAATAGGCCACGTTTGTACTGCTTTTGTCTTTTCAGGATCCATCTGAATGCCTTCTGTTGAAATTCTATGTCCCAAGAAATCAACTTGAGACATATGGAAAAGACATTTCTCAAGTTTGCAAAAGAGTTGTGCTTGAGATAGCTTCTCTAAGACTTGTCTAACATGTAGAACATGCTCTTGAGTGTCTAAAGAGTATATAAGAATGTCGTCTAAGTAGACAACAACAAAGATATCCAAGTAAGGTCTTAGAATATCATTCATGAGAGCTTGGAAAGAAGCAGGTGCATTGGCAAGCCCAAAAGGCATTACCTGGTATTCAAAATGACCATAGCGTGTTCTGAATGCTGTCTTCCACTCATCATCTTCCTTGATGCGTATCAGGTTATAAGCTCCCCTGAGATCTAACTTGGTAAAGATCTTTGCTGAAGAGAGCCTATCCATGAGCTCAGGGATAAGGGGTAAAGCATATCTGTTTTTAACAGTGACTGCATTAAGGCCCCTATAATCAACACAGAGACGCAAGGAGCCATCTTTCTTCTTGACAAAGAGAATAGGAGCTCCTGCTGGTGAGGAAGAAGGTCTGATAAAGCCAGAACTAAGGTTCTCATCTAGGTATTCTCTGAGAGTTTTCAGCTCTAATTCAGATAGAGAGTAGATAGGGCCGTAGGGAGGCATTGAGCCTTCTGCGAGTGGTATCTCATGGTCATAAGGCTGGTGCTTTGGCAGAATTGATGCCTTTGCCTTGTCAAAAAGATGTTGGTAGTCTTGGTATGCTAAAGGCAAAATGACCTCCTGAGATGATTTCTCCAAATCTGAAGTAGCTGCTATCTCCAGGACAGGTTGGAAAGGTTTAACCCATATCAGAGATGATATATCGTCCATAGTTTGGTCAAAATCCTTGATCTGGGACAAGTCTGAGTCTTGGACCTGAATAGGGGTAACTGAGGCTTGAAGGGTTTTTTCAGTATTGAGCTCCGGATTTGAGCTAAACCCAAGCGATAAATGCTTCCAATTGATAGTTGGATCATGCCTTTGAAGCCATGGAAGACCTAGGATGACTGAGTACTTCATTGGTATAACATCTAAAGAGATGGTGTCTGAAAATCTAGGGGATCTCAAGTTTGAGTACTGGGGTGTTGCAGGTAATGGAACCTGAACTGATAGGAGTTCCATCAATGACTCGGAGCAACTCTGGAGTGCGTTTGGGAATTGTAGGTAACTGGTGTGTCAAGATGAGGTCTTGAGATATAAAGTTGCCTGTTGCCCCTGAGTCTATCATAGCCCTTGTAGATAACACCTGTTGTTTGAAATGGAGTTGAATAGGGATTAACAGGTGTGTGAAACTCTGAGAAAGCACCATCGACACATCTTTGTTGTCTAGGGGAGAAGTTGTAGTCTCAGTTGAAGTTGTGCCTGGTGGGGATTTTTCAAGTTTTTCAGGAATAACAGCTGTGACTGTGTCTGAGGCTGCTATATGTTTTGATTCAGCACTCCCCCGTGCTGAATAGCACTCCTGAATTCTGTGCCCCCCTTTGCCACAGTATAAACAAAGGTTGTTGTCCATTCTGTGTTTTCTTTCTTGAGGAGTAAGTTTACCCCTTTTCAGTTTTTGAGGGCTTCTTGTAGGCTGAGGTGCTGGATTTGCTGTAGATCTCTTTATAGAGGCGTCTAAGTCCATAGGTTCAGGTGCTGAGTCCTTAGCAGTTGGTGTAGAGGTGTAATTGTTGAAATTTCTTGTTGGATGCCAGTCTTGGTTCTTCTCCTTTCTTCTTTCAAAAAGCCTATCATCAAGTCTGACAGCTTTCTCTATAAGCGTTTGAAGTGTTGTAGGGCGTTCTTCTTTGCTGAGTTCATCCTTAATAGAGCTCTTGAGCCCTTGGTAGTAAGTGAAGACTAAGGCTTCTTCATTCCAAGTCAAGTGAGAAGTGCTTCTCCTAAATTCTGTTGTATACTGAGCAGCAGAGGTCTTTTGACATAGCTTCTGTAGCTCTCTTTCTGCTGTAGCAGTTTCGTTGATGTCTCCAAAGGTCCTGGTAAGTTCCTCTTGAAACTGGTCATAAGAGGTAATCAAAGGTGTAGTGGTATTTTGGTTGTTGCCACTAAGTCTTCTAAGATATGGCTCAAAGAAGTTGAATGCAGATCCACGGAGGTAGCTGGCAGCGAAATATATCTTCTGAATATCTGAGGTGAACTGATGAGGCCTGAGGGTGAAGTAGATGTCCAGTTGCATAAGAAATCCCTTCAACTTCCTTCTGTCTCCATGGTATAAATCTGGTGTTTGCACTTTAGGAAGTGCACTTGGGGTACCCGACATAGCCAGAGGAGCTGTGGGAAGCTCTGTATGATGTGTCTGAGTTGAGGATTGTGTTGCTGAAGTGTTGGCTTGAAAGGTGTTTTCCAAATTCTCAAGTTTGTTTGCTATATTTTGTATAAAGGCAAACAGTTGTTGCATCTGCTGTTCAGCAGTAGTTGTAGGAGCTTGGTCGTCCTCCATTGTAGTATCGAAGTGCTGCTATAGAAATAGTTGAAGCTTGAAGCAGACAAGGTGTAATGGTGGGTGCACCAGATGTGAGAATCTAGCCACCCAAGGAAGGGATGAATTTACTAAGACAACACACTGTCTTAGAAAACAGAGCCAAAGGGTCGTAGCTTAGACTATTCCACAACGCAGCAATCAGGTGTGTGATGTAGTGAAGTGGTTCAGACAAGTTGCAACAAATGTTGAGTCTGGGAACTTAGGGGTAAGTCAGAGGTTAACACCTCACTGACTTTTCAGAAACAAGGAGTAACAAGATGAATGCTTGGAAGCTTGGAAAAGACGTGGAAGTATGTGATAGTCGATTTACTGTATTGTCTACTTGCCCTTTCTTAAGGAAAGGGCAATCCTATTTATGCTAAAAGAGTGTAGTTCTCTCATTTTCCAAGACTTTCCATGATTACCAGGCTTGGTAACTGTAGTCGACGTAAGAGAATCCCATAGAACCATCTCTTAGGTTCGTAGCCTATAGGAAGTAAAAGGAGGTCCAAGGTCAGAGTACCCCTATAGACAAATTATGTCATAGACAAATTATGTCATAGACAAATTATGTCATAACTTAACCAATCTTGTGGGTAACTAAAGAGCGATGACATGTAATGAATCATAGAGGTTCGTAGGAGCTTTTAGAGCTATCGTTCATGCTCCTAGGCCTCTAGTTGGTAGAGATATGTCATGTGGTAGTATGAGTGATGTCATGTAATGAATCATAGAGGGTTGTAGAGATATGCTATGTGGTAATATCGGCCCAGTAACTAAGGAGCGATGACGTGTAATGAATCATAGATGGTTGTAGCAATCGTTGAGTAGTATTGCTCTTGTTGTTGGTGTGATAAGCCAAAATATGTATAGTGACTTGTAGGTTTGAGGAGGAGATTTCCAAGTTTGCTCTTGAGTTTGATAGCAAACTGAGTGCAACGAATGTCAGTATGACATCTGTCGGTGTAATTGAGGTTGGAAGAGTGATTAGAGTTGTAAAAAGTGTTGATTTTCGAAAGCAATTGTATATAATTGATTGTAAAACTTGTTGATTCCAGCTTCGTAAGATCCAGCGAATTGAAAGTCGTAAGCTTGCTTGCTTAATCGGATCCAGATTTGAATTATAACATTCAAGCATAACACAGAGCCATTGTCGATGGTAATAAGCTTTACGAGATTGAATAATGCCTTGATCAAGAGGCTGGAATCAACTAGTACTATTAGCTAGAAGCCAACAGATCCGAATATTAGGAGGTGGGGGACAAAGCTCAACACCAGATATGTGTGCAGAAAAGTTGTCCATTGTAAGAAGGACTTGTCGAGTAAAGCCAATATGTTGATGAAATGCTTGAAGCCAGTCGATCATAATTGTTGAATTCATCCAAGCCTTTTTATTCCACCTCCACTCAGCTCCCATTGTAGATATATTAATATTGCGTAAAGATTGAGGTGTTTTTGCTTTGCCGATAATCCAGATTGGTGTCATACTGACATTCGTTGCACTCAGTTTGCTATCAAACTCAAGAGCAAACTTAGAAATCTCCTCCTCAAACCTACAAGTCACTATACATATTTTGGCTTATCACACCAACAACAAGAGCAATACTACTCAACGATTGCTACAACCATCTATGATTCATTACACGTCATCGCTCCTTAGTTACTGGGCTGATATTACCACATAGCATATCTCTACAACCCTCTATGATTCATTACATGACATCACTCATACTACCACATGACATATCTCTATCAACGAGAGGCCTAGGAACATGAACGATAGCTCCAAAAGCTTCTACAACCCTCTATGATTCATTCACGTCATCGCTCCTTAGTTAACCACAAGATTGGTTAAGTTATGACATAATTTGTCTATAGGGGTACGACCTTGGACCTCCTTTCACTTCCTATAGGCTAGGAACCTAGGAGATGGTTCTATGGGATTCTCTTACGTCGACTACAGTTACCAAGCCTGGTTAGTCATGGAAAGTCTTGGAAAATGAGAGAACTACACTCTTTTAGCATAAATAGGATTGCCCTTTCCTTAAGAAAGGGCAAGCAGACAATACAGTAAATTGACTATCACATACTTCCACGTCTTTTCCAAGCTTCCAAGCATTGATCTTGTTACTCCTTGTTTCTGAAAAGTCAGTGAGGTGTTAACCTCTGACTTACCCCTGAGTTCCCAGACTCAACATTTGTTGCAACTTGTCTGAACCACTTCACTACATCACACACCTGATTGCTGCGTTGTGGAATAGTCTAAGCTACAACCCTTTGGCTCTGTTTCCTAAGACAGTGTGTTGTCTTAGTAAATTCATCCCTTCCTTGGGTGGCTAGATTCTCACATCTGGTGCACCCACCATTACAAGACTCAACATTTGTTATAACTTGTCTAAACTACTCCACTACATCATACACCTGATTGCTGCGTTGTGGAATAGTCTAAGCTATGACCCTTTGGCTCTGTTTCCTAAGACAGTGTGTTGTCTTAGTAAAATCATCCCCTTCCTTGGGTGGCTGGATTCTCACATCTGGTGCACCCACCATTACAACAGGCGGATCACCATATGTACCTATATACGACGACATCTCCAGCTTCAAATTATCATATATTACGCTATATACAGCAGCTAACTACTCTAGGATAAAGCTACACCATCGCAGCTGCTACACTCACGAGTGTAGCAGCTGCTGAAGTGGCCTAATGGGCTGAAGTCCTCCCATTAAACCTTTGTGTAGTCAGTTGTCCACTTTAGGCTTAGCTTACTTAGTTTAGCTTCAAGCGTGGCGTTGATAATCTGCACCGCCATATGTTAGTCACGTGTTCTCGCGTTATCGTTATCGCCTCACACAACGCGCTTTTGCGCCTGCGCCACATCTTCAAGCCGCATCACCATCAGTCGCGTTCAATGAACCTATGTTTCATAACGAAAATCGCCGCGACGATGGGAATAGGCACCACGACAATGGTGTCGTCGGTGTTGGGTAAAAGGTAAGCGTTACCTTCTACAAATTCACACTCAACCACCCACTTCTAACACTTTTCCAGGTCGCGTATGCGAACATACGCAAACCGCGTTAGGAAAGACAGAGCGGATGCACCAGCAAAGATAGTCTGTATTGAAGTTGTCAATCCTCTGCAAGACATTACGAACGTCCTCCCTGTCGCGCCTCTGCCGGCGCCGAAAAGCAAAAGGTCAATTACAGACTATTTCGCAAAACCAACAGCTTCAGCAAACCCCTCATCCTCTGACACCAACCCCTCATCTGATCAGCCCCAAGAACACATCCATTCCAGCACTTCCTCTTCGTCGACAACTCTCCCATCTTCACCATCTCCTTTGGAACCATATCATACCGGCATAAAGCCACAAAGTCGAAAACGTCGGAGGTTAACGACAAGGCCTCGGGCTATCCAAGCAACAAGACCTCAAACCAACAAACCGGACAAAATGATGTCTCCTGAAGACTACGATGGTCCTGTATTTAGCAGCGACTCAGACAGTTCCTATTCTTCCAGCTGGGAGGGTAGTATTGTCGACGGATACACTACAGCCCAGGATGCTACGACCCAGGGCAACCTCGCCAAACATCCCATGGCTACCGCGATCTTTCGATCTAACTCATTTACGAGCTCTCCTTCCAAGGGTCCTAAGGAGACCGGAAGAGCTCGATCCAAGACGAGGGCAGGTGGGGAGGGTATGGTTGGAGAATTTTCCGACATGGTCTACCCCATTCCAGCCAACTACAGCTATCTCATCATGCCTCCTCGGGCCTCTACGACTCCCACCGAAGGCTCTAAGGGTCTTGGAAGAGCTCGATCCAATACAACAGCGGGCCGTGATGCTGAGAAGGCTTACCCGATTCCAGCTTACTCTGATTCTTCCAGCAAGACTGATGTTACCCTAGCTAGACCCAGCAATGGAGGAAATGAGGGCGGACAGAAGGAGAATACCAAACCTAGCAAACTTGTTCAAACCCAGATCAACCTTGGCCAGAATCCCATCACCACTTGCAACGTCTGCAAATTCACACTCAACCGTACCGTCGTTGAGGACGTCAAGGCCCACGACAAATTTCACCAGGCGTTTGTTAACCTTGCCGAGAAGCTTGATATGGATGAATTCTAAAGACACAAGAAGTTTGATGGGTTTTGCGCCGAGACAGTTACAAGCACATATCGGTGTCCAGGCTTGAGCTTTGTTACAGGTTCATTCATGCGGAGTTAGGTTTCGGGGGTTTGGGGTGTCAGGCATATTCACGAGGTCGGCATATTCATGGGGTCAGGCATATTCACGGGCGTCGGCGCATTATACCCTACAATTGTGATTACTAGCTAGGTATATTGCTTCAATGAAATCCTGACTTGTACATTCTGTCTTCCGTATATGATTGTACCGACTGGTCGATCCCAGTCTTCAGCCTCGATTATGGCAATCTATGTCGCCGTTTCCAGTTCATGGATGATCGTAATCATGCTTGTAGTCTGTACATGGAGCAACAAAGAATGGAACACAGGCAGTGAAGAAATTCTATAATTGTTCAGAGTTTAGATTATCATATCCGTGTTTCTTTAATCTGCAAATACAAGCTTTAAAGGTGAGGTACCAAAAACGTCAGCTTGGTCCAAGCGTCGTGATAAGCCGCACCGCATCGGTGACGTCCCGACTGTCACGCTCTCTAAATGCAACGCATCGCAATCCTCTTCAATGGCGCCCATATGACCAGAAAACAATTGATGTTACTGCAGTAGGCTGGGCACGATGGCCGACTTCCACGGCTCTTCGAACCCCTTTCGGCGCAGGACGCCCGCCATCCAAACGAACACAGAGAATGGAACAAAGGCAGAGGAAAGCACAGTGACTAGGCAACTACCCATCGATCAACCGATGCCGCATGGAGATGCGCCGATCAAAAATAACGACAAACCGGTGAAGCATGTTAGGGTGCAGTCGCCGCCGCCGAGCAGCCCGGAGGATGCCATAGAGGATAAATCCCATACGCCACTCCCACAGGGAGAGGGCCATGCACTTGGCCATGACCCATTTGAGTCCGTTATGTCCGATGAATCGTCAGATGATAATGATGAAGAAATACCACCGATAATTGCTGCCAGCAATGATGGAAGAGCGCCTATACCACCGATAAGCTGTGCCGGCAATGATGGGAGAACGTCTATGAACCCGTTCAGCAAGACATTAGCTACGTTAGAACGGACGGAGGGCAAGGAGTCGACCGGCGAAACTCCACCGGTGGGGTCGGGAAAGGCAGCTATGGATGTGGAATCTTTTAAGCGTCTACTCATGACTGGAAGCAGCGGTATCCCAGCTCCTGAATCTCTACCCGGCCCTCCCGCGCAATCAGCGCACACAGGGCCGACAGACGGAAGCAGCACAGAGGCATCATCGGTCTCACGGCACTCGATCTTTGAGAACATCCAAGAGAATCTGCCCGAGTCACCCCGAACCTCACACGAAGTCTCCGATGCAAATGACGAGCCGCGGCGTATGCCGCCAACCCTCCAGCGCTCTGCCTCCGGAAGGAAAAAGCCGCCACCACCCAGCTCACGGCATGGGAAACTCATAAACGTGCAACTAAGAGACAACGCGCGGCCTCATTCTCTCTATTTAACATCTACATCCGCCCCGTCACCCCTATCAACCACAATCCCTACACCAACCGCCGCGGAACGGTCGGCCACCGACCTCAACAAGCCCCTTCCACCCAACCCCTCCCGCGCAAGCCACGACTCAGATCGTGAATCCGTCTTTGACTGCGAATCGGTCGGGAAGGCGCCGGAGCCGTCTTCTCCATCCAACTTACTACGACGTAAACCCGCACCTGCACCTCCCTCAGCACGCCGCCATGGCCATCCTGTCGCCGACCCAAACTCCCCGCACCTATCTCCCAAACGCCTCACCAACATGGGCGACGACAGCCGCAACAGCTCAACGCAGGATCTATCATCATTGCATCCCTCCACCAACCAACAGGCAACCTTTAAAGCCCCCCCACCTCCGCCGCTCCGCCGCCCAGGCTCCATCAGAAACTCCGTTATCTCCCCACCGTTTATAACATCCGAGCTCGAAAACGCCCCTTCGATGCCCCGCGCCCCATCCACTCCCTCTAAGCGCCTCTCCGTCGTCCCCCCTGCCCCTCCTCGGCCCCGCGGCGCAAGCGGGGCAAGCGTCGACGCCAACCTCCCCAACCCTGCCGCGTCGACCACCGAACACCCAGACATCCTCGCTGACCTCGGCGCTCTTCAGAGGGAGATCGACGCCCTTCGCGGGCGTGAAGCTTGAGCATCTCCAGTGCTTGAGATGCCGAAATCCGCTCAGACGGGTTGAACCTCATCAGGCCCTTTATGATTGGGAGGAGAGGCTTTAGGTCTTCTCGGGGACTCTTTACTCGAATCTTCGCTCAAATTTTGATTGCGGATTTGGGCCATTGTTGCCTGTTATCAGTGATCTCGGCGTTAGCTGTTGCTCTCACTGGACTCTTTGGATGGGAGTATGGACATCTTCTTCTCTATAGTTTTAGATCAAAACAATAAAAAGGCGCTTACCTTCCAGGGGCTCCCGTCCGGCTTTCGAACTCATGTCCCTGTATTTCTCCTGCCATTCGGCAGACAAATCCTCGACGAAATTAATCATCTGCGCTACCAGGTCATTGACATCCCAATCTGAAATGGCATCCCTCCAAATACAAAGAAGTATATCTACATAACACGTATTAGTTCTACCAGTGGATAAATTTTTGAGGGAGCACTCGTATATTCTCACCGCGAATCCCACGCGCCACAAATCGAGTCTGTAGTAAAATCTGTCGGTGAAGATCGTTTCCGGCACCCTCAACACTCCAGGCTGCGCGATCCGTTCCTGTTCCGCGCCCTGGGTGAAGGCCTTCCCTAAAGTAATTCAATTTATCCTATATACTGTAGTCTACTGTCGAGTTTTCCTGCCCGTTGCGCAAAAGCCCGAAGGCCCAGTCACCAAAAACACCGCACGATTTGCGCGCGGTCGCAATATCTCGGTCCTTCCTTCAACAAAATTGGAATTCGGTTTGTAACACCTGGCCTGGGACAGGTCGTGGCTAATCATACCTCCTTCCGCGACACCGATCTTGGGTGTGTGGATAGCAATGATATCATAATAGCACCTCGACCTGGTTTCATGGCAATCCGTCAATCCATTGGGGAAGTTGCAAGGTTGACCATTATCATCATAAATCCAAGGTGCGTCCATAGAGGAAGGCACCGTTGCCAAGAAAAGTGGAAGTTCGACCAACTCCCAAGATATAGTACACGCACCTTCCCAGACGACACTTGATAATGGTCCCTATCCTTGGCAAGCGCACCGATGTCATCTCTACCTGCAATAGTGCTTATCAGATACATGTAGCATTATTTGAAGATAATATCAGAGTACGTACCTGAACCCGGGCAATTTCGTTGTAGAAGTTTGACTTGTGTTGAGGAGGAATTGGAATCTCGCCGTTATGAGTTGCATAGCCACCACTAGCGTCCATAGCGACGTTCCCAGGTAAGAATTCCATTAGGATAAATGCATTAGGATAAATGCGACCCCAACTAGATTGTTGCTCGTGGTGCCCGTGCTGATCAGGATTCGCCATCATTTGGCGTCCTCATTGTCCAACACATATACCTTCGCCGAATCGAAAGGCGTCTTGATGAGTCTATCCTCAAGAGAGCTGGTCATAAGGCAGCGCACTATCTTCCGACGTTACCTGCTTTGCGAGATCGACATATGTACTGTCCTTATTATAAAACTCGGGATTGGCCGCATGGGACCATCGCTGCTCCCAGATTCCATAGGCTTGGGTGAGGCTAGGATGGCTGAATTCGAGCTTCGTGTTCTTAGCATTTATGAAGAGCGTTGCGCCTCGAAATCGATGGAAGCCAAGGTTCACCTCAATAGTCTCAAGGATGAGAGTCCAGAGCGGGTCGAGATATTGTGGCTGTATGGGATGCTTGAGGAGCTGCTCTCTAGCGGGCTCTTTCCGGGTAAGGCCTTCCGCAGATACCGCAATAGAGTTGACGTCGGCGACGCGGGCTGAGGCAGGATAATGTTGCAGGATATTAGACGACCCATTAAGCTAGAGCTCCTGATCTTGACGGCTAAGATATGGGAGTGCTCATGGTCGCTGTCCTCATGCAGGTCGGGGAAGAATCTAAGCATGCGTAGTTCGTTCATGCCAATCACGTTTCCAAAACAGTAGTGAGGGATCTTATGCAGAGGGACATATCTATTGGATGCATTTCCCTAAGTAGTGTATCTAGGGACCTTCAGCACAAAATGTATGTCGCCTGTTAGGGTCAGAATGGGATGGACCTTTGGCAACCAATTGATCCCTTGTCGTGCAAAGCCGAGACTGTTGGGAAAGCAACAAGTGCTATCGATGTCAAACGTCGTTTTTGGCAGGCGGTTTTTTTTGCTGGTTGTGTGATGCTGCGACAAGCAGAGGTTATGGGGCAGTCTCAGCATCCTTGGGGGCTCGTCCCTTCAAACGCAGCCTGGCAGTCAACGACACGGAAGTCGGTTGCCTTCATCAGCTTAGCGCTGCCCAAGACGTCTAGAAGCGGTGTTCCTCCGTTGAAACTCCCGTGGATGAGAGGGGTAATATCAGCCATGGAAGAACACCTAGAATGGACATCAGGGCGCTGGTGATGCACCTAGTGGTTCCGGTCAGCTTGCTAATGCTGTTCGTGTGTACAACCTTGGAACTTTCGGAGTTGTTTGGCCAGCTTGAAGGCCGTCCGCTCTTGTGGATGGTTGTTAGTGCTGGGGCTTGGAGCATGGCTTGACAATTGAGGTGCACGAGCTGTCAAATCATTGGTTGGCGCTCTCTGAGGTGCAGTAGGCGTCATAGGTGTGGCGTGATTCTCAATTTCAACTGGAAGCACTCCTGCTCCTGGGGGCAACTGGGGCAACGGGGGTGATGTAGATGGCACACGGACGGTATTCACTCCTGGTTTTCATTCAACCCAGAAGATTGTTCTTCTGGGCTGGAAATGACACACTTCGCTTACCTTTGCTGCCACTCGATCGAGGCTGAGACCCTGGACCTCCTCTTATAAAATTAACAGCTGTTAGGGTTGCGCTTGTTATATCAACCGTGTAGAACCGTACGATTAGACTCTTTCATTTGCTTACTTAGATCCTGCCAGCTACGTCTCTATATTTTAGGTGCCTATGCAAAGACGTCAGAAGAATAGCGATCGCTTTTCATATCCTGGAACCAGCTCTCAACCTCCTCGTCCGTCTTCGGCTTGCCAATGGTGTCGTAATGAGTCTGGAATATTTTTTTTGTCATGGCAGCGACACCCTCCCCGACCATTCTGGACCCGCAGACAAACAACTTTGCGCCATTGTTGAAGACTTTCGCCATCTCATCTCTCTCCTCCCAGAGCCTATCCTGCACATGTCGGCAGCCCTTGCTCTCCTCCGTTGCCGTGGAAAATGCGTAGAACACTTTGACAATTCCGTCCGTCGTCCACTGTTGAAGCTCATCCTTGAAGAGCGCATCCTTTTCAGGATGCGTACAACCAATAAAGAGGTATGCCGGCGCAATCTTTCGTCCGGCTTGAAATTGAATTGCTCTTTCTTGAATGAATCCACGGAAGGGGGCAAGACCTGTTCCAGCGCAGAGCATTATGACAGGAGTGTTCGCAATGTCCCGAGGAGGGTGAAAGTTGCTATGGCTTTCCTTCACCGTAACGTGAATCCTATCACCTTCTCCAACATTGGACAGATAGTTTGATGCCACGCCAAGAAATCGTTTCGACCCAGTGATTTTGGATGGCGCATCTAGCACAGACCAGGTCAGGGATGCTGTTGTCGGGTCCGCCAAGGGAGTCGAAGATATCGAATACTGACGGATGCGCATGGGTGGCAGCATCGCAAGGAAGTCGCCTAAGAGCAGCTCGGCCGATGGATATTCTTCAAGCAGATCTAGAGGGGAGCGGCGCTTCTTCGAAATCTCATCATCAAAGTCTTTTCCAGCAAGAGAAAGCACTTTCTCCCGGGTTTTCTCGTCTGGAATGGTAGCGGCAATTCGTGCGATATTCTACCTGAACGTGAGCTAGTTGATCGGGGAGGTATCCATCCTCTTTACATACCTTTCGTGTTGCCGGTTGGCTCAGTTCTACATATGCACCTAGCACGCCCATTGCTGAAACCGGATGGCCCGTTGGCAATGTTGTGTTTGCACCAACCTTGATGGTGAGCACAGCGTCCCAAGGTAGGCTATAGCGCTTCAGGACTCGTCGGATATTCTTCTGGTCATTGATAGGGAGCACAGCTAGATAGTCTCCGGAGTTATACGACATCCCAGAAGGGAGTCTCAGGACAATGTGTCTCTTCTCTGGTACACCTTCTGCTGTCAAAACCTGGTTGCTGATGACAATTGCTTCTTTGACATCTTGACGAAGCGTGGACTTGCGCGCATCCGTATCGATTTCGATTTCGATAGATTCTTCTCCAGCGGCTACTTCGCCTCCAATGGAGGACCAGAGTTTCTCATCTTGCCATTTATCAAAGTCGTCGAATATGTCACCATTAGCAACGTCTCCAAGACCAGTATCTGCAATTCTTGTCGCACCCGACCTCTCAAGCTCAGCGTCTAGGAGTTTAGGTACCTTGTGAAACGTAGCGTTCCAGTCATCTAGAAATGTCAGCAGGTAACTTCATCTCAGGATATGACAACATCTCGAGGTACATACGGCTTCCACAGCCATAGACTGCAAACTTCACACCAGTCAATGCATGGCCGCTAAGGTTCTGAACCCATTCTACAAATTGAGCAGCATTATCAGGAGGCTGCCCTTCATAACTGGAGCAAATCAGGACCACGGGATGCTTTTTGGATATTTTGTCAACACCTGCATCTAGAGGATCGACCTGAGCACGGTAGCCGTGGCTAGACGCGACTCTTGCCAAATTCTGCGCCAATGCTTCGCATGTCCCGGCATTTGAACCGTACAAGATTGTCAGGCTTTTCTTCGCAGTTCCAGCCGAAGAAACAATGGCTTTCCTGTCTTTCTCTTTCTTCGATTCCGCTGACAAGTCCACGTGAAGGTTTTTCTCGAGCTGAATAGGATCGAGGTCGTGCCTCAGAGTCGCACGCATAAAGAAATCTTTTGGTTTGATGGTGAGGGTCTGCTTTATCTGTAGCTGGTAGCTTGCATCATCGAAACGGAAGTTGAAATGCTGAAGAAGCATGACTGTGGTGAGAATGGTCTCTTGCCATGCAAATGGCCTTCCAATACATCCACGCACGCCATTCCCGAAAGGCTTCCAAGCATTCCTGGGAAGTTTGGCAAATGCATCACCCAGCATTCTTTCCGGTTTGAAGAAATCTGCATCATCCCCATAGACCGCTGGGTCTCGTTGAACCTGTGGAATAACGCAAATAATTCCTTGGCCCTTTTTGATTTCATACTTCCCACCACCCAAGCAGATAGGATCCTCTGTGCTCTCTGGCCGAGCCTGCATTTGGTAGGCAATTGCAGACGGTGTGAGTCTGAGCGTTTCCCGCATGCATGCCTCTATATAAGGGAACTTCGACATGTGGTCCACAGTGATTGGGCCACGGCCAACGACTTCATCTACTTGGCGCTGTGCAGCCTGGTACGCTGACGGGTGTTTGATGAGATTATAGAACAAAAATGATAGAAGACCGCTGGTAGTCTCGTGACCTGTGAGGTATCAGCGATGGTAACTTAGACCCAACAATGAGAAAGGGTGGCCAGCGTACCGGCAATCAGAAAAGTAATCATGTTGTTTAGTATACTCTCTTCTGTCATTTCTTCCCCAGTTTTGACATCTTTCCCTTTTAACATGGCATTTAGTAAGTCTTTTTTGTCGCTGGGATGTGCTCTACGTTCGGCAACCACTTCTCCTGCCACTTTCTTTAAAAGGGCAATGTCAGCATCATACTTTTGCTGAGCTGAGCGCATGAAATACTGCATGACGGCTGGTCGGTTTGCCCGGGCTCCAGATTCCGCTAAGAACCCAACCATAGCATTGACAAATGGATGCATCTCTTCATGGTAGAAGGAGTTGAATCTAGTCCCCATAGCGCAGCTAAAATTTAATTAATAAATGTCATGGTGGTCTAAGTCAATCTATACTTACAGCGCGATCGAGTCGAGGGTTAATTTTGTAAAGTCGTCTGTCACATGAATCTTCTCATTGGAACCAAATCGTGCCCATTTGATCACCAACTGCGATGCAATGTCATGCATCTCATCATACATGCTCCGGATGGAGATTGGGCCAAATGCTATTTACATTAGCAGAGGCATAATATCACGTGCGGCGACCTACCCGGCAGTAGGACACGATGGGCAATTTCCCAATTGTGCTCCCCGGGGTGAGCTGTGAAGAGTCCATCTTTGACGCCATTTCGAATCTGGGCTAAACTTCCTGACACTAGCTTGGTAAAACGCTTTTCATCGCAAACCTCATCCATCAAGGCATGAGTTGTGATAAATATCTTCTCGAAACCACCAATGGTAAGCTTGAAAATGGGGCCTTCATTCGGGGGAGTTCCATCAGCTCGAGAGCTTCAGCGCAGGTTCCGAGGCGTGACATACCATATGTATCCGCGAGGTTTCTAAAGGTAGTGAAACTATTCACAAGGTCGAGGTTATGGGCATTGCCAACAATTGGCAATGGCGGCGGGCCGGGAATTGACTCTGACATGGTCAATGTGTATTTCCGAGGTGAGACGTTTGATATAAATTGAAAAGAAGACCCCGAAATAACGTATTGATTAAGACCCGGGCTGCGTTGGTTCCGGCGGCACGGTCGTTAGTGCTCTGTGGTGCTGGCTACTGACTACTTATAGTTGATTATTACAGAACCTGTGTACTCTACCCCAAGACCAATAATTACCTGATTCCCACCTCTTATCCTCCTATGCATCCAAGACGTCATACTTCGCAGCAAATAGCGCGACCGAGGTAAAGCTTCGGCAGAGGATCCGGTTGTTAGTGGGTTAGCTGTGGCGAATCCTGCAGATTAGTACGTAAACATGAGACAGGCTGGCATCAGAGTTCACGCGTTTCTCGCGGGAAAGGCGGATGCGAAACGGCCCAACGGCAGATTCAGCCCAAGTATAGATCTACCGGCAGGTGTAAGGTCGGGCTGAATGCAAGGGTTAGGTTAGAACGATCGAGTACCCGACTTTTACACTAAGCGAGCCTTAGCAATTCACCTTCGCCTGGTCGATTTGTAATACATTACCATGGAGACGACGGAGGAACAAAAGTTAGGAAACGCCACAGTTCACAATTTAGTTATGAACATAGTTATGAAATCAGCCAGTTCACAATTTAGTTATGTACATAGTTGTGAAATCAGCCAGTTCACAATTTAGTTATGTACATAGTTGTGAAATCAGCCAGTTCACAATTTAGTTATGTACATAGTTGTGAAATCAGCCAGTTCACAATTTAGTTATGTACATAGTTGTGAAATCAGCGTAAGCTCGATTAAAACGATAGTGACATTTAGTTTTACCATTTTCTACAATCGACTATCTCCACCATCACGTACGAGATACCACTTCACACCAACCATATCTATCGAACCATCTCTATACAGTCCTTTGTTTTTCGCCCTGTTTAAGATATCATTGAAATTCTTGTTGCCTTCAACAGCAATCGTGACGGACACAATTCCTTCCGGCTTTCCCTTCTCGCCCGGGGTGAACGTGACATGCCCATTGGTAAACACTAGTTTGCTTTGGACTCTTGGAACGCCAAACATATCCTCCCATTGGGCTGCTGCTGCTTCCGTGTCGGTATCTCCAGGTAGTAGCCGGCAGACTACTTCGACAAGGCGGAGGTGTGAGCAACGCTTCATGCCTGCTGAGTAGGAGCCGTAATCGGGGCCAAGTGGGTGCCAGGGCGAGAACGTTGATGTCAGGGGCTCCGGGTTGCTAGGTGAGCGTTGGTGAGAGTCGAGCTCGGGAATAACCCCGCCTTCTACAGCGTTAGAGATGGTCAATAATTTCGAGTTAGCAAAGAACCCGAACCTTTGATACCCTTCGGGTGGTACTGGACGCAAACAGCGTCATCATCTAGATGACTATATATCACTTTTCCCAAGTTGTTGGACTCAATGAATGATCGTCGTGCAACAGCATCCTCAGTCTGCATAATGATCATATAACCACCATCTCCACGTTTTGATAGGAGGCGCCCTGCAGCCGTATTCTGCCTAATAGGCGAGACAACCTGCAAGCCGTTATTAAAAAGATTGGCGTGTATCATGCAAACAACCTACTTCAATAACATCTCCACCTATAGCCACTGCCATTTTTCGAGTCAGTATTTGATATAGATGTATAGAACATATTACGGCCAAGTACCTATGAAGTTCCTGAGGCCCCATTCAGCAACTCTTGGATCGATGAAGACGACCTCTGTCCCGAAAACGAATGTCTATATGGAGTTTTGTCAGCTAAACGGTTGCAAGCACTCTTATCTGATATAGTCATACTAGAAAATGCTTTGCTCTTTCCAAGTCTTCCGCAACTAGTGCTATCTGCCGTAGTCGTGTGCACAATGCACCTTGAGAAGACGACACGCCATGAAACTTGCTTGTAGAAGACATAGGTCTGCATTCAGTCCAGAGGCTTTGTTTGGGTCTATTCGAAGTCTGATGTAGTCGTCAATAAATGGGCAGCTCCCTTATAAGGATCGACAGCCTACGCTAAAAAGTACCTCGGCGCCGAGCTGTTTTGGCTACCCCACCTACAGGTCGAAATCGGCCAACGTGCCGGATAGATAGTGTTTCCCCGCACGTACTTCTGATGGGCTTACTGACATACATATATACCTACTCCCATATTTAACATTCTACCTAAACCATTAATCATTTAAAAACGAACCCACACAAACTACATTTAGTGTACCTATTCTAGCTTTGACTATCATCAACATGCCGCCGTTTCACAAATATAGGGATATCGAAGTGGAGGTGACTGGCCAAATCGGCATTATCAAGCTAAACAGACCGGAGGCCCTCAATGCATTCAGCAGCGTGCTAATGTCCGATGTTATCTCTGCAATAAGGGAACTGGACGAGCATTCCGATACTGTTTTCACTGTTCTCACGGGGAAAGGCCGATTTTTCTCCGCAGGAGTGGATGTGAAGGGTAAGAACGTCTATAAGTTTCTTAGCTTCCGATAACACGTGGAAATATTAATTGATATGCATAGGGGAGGAAATAGGCCTTGGGGATGTTCCTGCCGCCGAGAAAAAAGTGCGTGCGTTGTCTAAATTGGCCAGAGGTAAGGATATAGATTTCTACTACCTACTCCAATCTTTGATTTCTTTCTTCCAGCGAGAAGACATGCTCTAAGCTAATCCATTCTTTCTGGTAGCTACGGAAATGTTACGTTTGATTATCGACCACAAAAAGGTATTTGTCCTTGCCCTTAATGGGCCTGGTGTAGGTGGTGGCGCAGCTTGGTTTCAGGGAGTTGCCGACATTGTGTTAGCTGCAGAAGGGGCGTGGATGCAAGTCCCCTTCAGTGCTCTCGGTTTAGTACCGGAGAACGGCTCGGCTATAAACTTTGCGCAAAGTATGGGGGTGCATCGGGCCAACGACTTTCTCATGTTTGGTCGGAAATTGACGGCGGAGGAGTTAGAACAGTGGGGATTGGTGAATCGTATTTTTCCTGCCAACGATTTCCATAAGAGGGTTGTGGAGTTCCTTGAGGATCAACTGGCTGTGAATGATGGCAAAAGCATGATGGAGACCAAGAGATTGCAGAATGCACCCTTGCGAGACGGGAGAATTATTGCTTTGTTCAACTCTATTGATGCCCTGGCGGAGCGAATTGTAGAGGATGCACCAACTAAACGATTTATGGAGAAAAAGAAGGAGTTGAAGCGTAAGTTCCATTGCTTATTCCTCTTGCCTTACGATATTGGTTGCTGATCCGCATATACATCAGTTAAGAGCAAAGGCTCGAAACTCTGAAACCTTATTGCAATATCCGAAAAATTGGCCTCGAGATCGCCATTACCTCGTTACAATACTACGAGGAGGCTTAGCTAAAAAAAAATGTTTCTAAACAAGCACGTGAAAGGTTCTATCACTCTCACCTATTTCGAACAGCGCAGTGAAAATGTGTGAGTTCTATGGTAAAGACTGTATATTTGGTCATTAACTGATCTTGAGACTTCGAACATGAGGCGCATACCGTCCCAACAACCATTTCCATAGGATTTCCCCCAATAGGATGCACATCGTGAGACTTTACCCACGTTGTCGAATTCCCCGATCATATCCTTCTCAGAGTCGGCTGGCCTTTTCTTTCTCGAAACATTGATGTACCGCTTTCCAATCACGTCCTCTAGGTAACGTACATGTATAACGAACCGGCCAAACAAGCGAACCGGCCAATCCATTTTACACCTTAAATCACGAATTTCATAACTTAATATCTCAACAACCCTTTAATAATAAGTTATAAAAATATGTACTTAGCCTTTTATAAGCATTTAAAGTACTCTATTTGATTTTTAAAGCAATTAGTATTGTAGTTATTAAGATACTAAGAATTAGGTCAAAAGTGTAAAGGCGTAGGGCCCAGGGTGTCATGGGAGTTCAGGGAACCAGGTCAGGAGGCAGGAAGTAAGGGTTATATTGGTGTGAAGCACAATAGGTCTACACTGATACAGCGACTATTGACTGGAGGCCTCACTCCGAGCCTCCAGCCCCTTATATACAGGAACCCGTAGGCCCTAATTTACTGAGCCCGCCAGGTCCACTGTAAGAGCGTGGCACCTCACGTGCCCTCACGTGAGGGCCGCCTTACAAAAAGTGGGGGCTAAAACTCAATATCTTAATAACTACAATACTAATTGCTTTAAAAATCAAATAGAGTACTTTAAATGCTTATAAAAGGCTAAGTACATATTTTTATAACTTATTATTAAAGGGTTGTTAAGATATTAAGTTATGAAATTCGTGATTTAAGGTGTAAAATGGATTGGCCGGTTCGCTTGTTTGGCCGGTTTGTTATACATGTAACGTACATGTATAGCGAAAGCGCCAAACAAGCGAAAGCGCCAAAATTATCTACCCTCACGACAAACATTGCGATAAATCTACCACAACATTAGAAATCAATTGAAACTACTCGGAGTCCTCTTCCTCAGAGGTGTCTATTACAATCTGACACGTGCGCGCATTGTGCCCAGTCTCACCACACTTGCCACAGCGACGGGCACGGGTTTCTTCCCTTGGCTTCCGACCACGGCTTGCCCTTATTTCCTGCTCTACCTGCTGCACAACATCCCTCTCATCCTGTAGCTCTTGCGCCCCTTGTTGACTAAGTGATCCTCCTTGCTGTAGTCGTGTTTTCCTAGCTCTCCGGCGCTTGCTTAGTACTTCATTTGCCTGTCGTAGGTTTTGGTTCTCTCCCTTTAGCAGTGCTAATTGATGCATTATTTGCGATGCACCCTTTGTAAACTGGTCAACAGCTGCATAGATTGAGGTTGGAGAGCTATTTTGATGGCGTGAAATCCGAGTTTTAATAAATGTAGACTGTGACATAGCTTCAATTGGGTTGTTTGGTGTCTGAGAAACCCAAGGTTGAGCAGTACCTGGGCGGGAGCTTGGAGGCGTTGGTGTCCTTAACTTAAGATCAAGTGTAGATATCACTCTCTCAGGGTCAAATGGAAGAAGCCCTGCCCCTCGGAACCCGCCTCAAATGTTACTTTCCGTCATTGTAGTGTTAAATGCAGCGTGGAAGGCAGGAAAGAAGTCATCCTTTGTAATATGAGAAATATGAGCCTGCATCATATCTTCAATTTGCCGACCATAGGCCTGCTTTAACGGGCCGAAACAGCCAACATCAAGTGGCTGGAGTAGATGAGAAGAGTGAGCAGGCATACAAAGCGTAATAATGTTGTGTTCCTTGCAGTACTCCTCAAACTCATCTGAGTGGTGGCTCTCATGACCATCAAGGACTAACAAGCGATAACCACCAACACTCCGGGCCTTTGTATGCTTCTCAAAGTGCTGAATCCAATCCATGCCTCTCTCGTTTGTAGTCCAGCCATTTTCAGTAACAGAAATCACCCAATCGCTTGAAAATCCACTATTCTCATACCAAGATGTAAGGTGGTTTTTGCCTGCAACAATGATAAATGGTGGTACTGCCCAACCTTGAGAACTAACGCCTTGGATTACTGTAACCCATTCCCGATTACCAGGCTGTACCTTCTTTGCTTTTGCCCGCCCGTCTGAGCTTGTTACAACCATAGCAGTTGAGATAACGCCCATCATAAACCCAGTCTCATCAAAGTTGTAGATATCTGCTTCATCGATACCATATTTCGCAATTGTGTTACGCACAAGCTCAAACCAGCCATTAATAACTTCTGGATCTTCGCACTTAGCCCTCTGGTAGTCGTATTTGCGCTGAAAGCGTGTCTGGAGCTCTACACGCCGCTTAACAAAGTTTGAAGCCCAACGCGACCCAACGCGTGACGCGTCGCGTGTTGCAAGTAGTCGACTTGCCATATCTTCAACAACAGACAGCCGAGGAGGAAACCCTTTGGCAGCTAGGTCGAGTATATACTGAACAAGGACGGACTCCTCTAGGTTAGTTAATTTCCGTGAGTTGGCTTGGATATCGCGTCGTGAAGGTACACCTTCTAGACGACGACCTAGCTTGCGGTGGTCCACAGAATAGATCCTAGCAGCAACTCGAAGGCGTAACTTTGGGTCGCTTTGCATAGCCTGGATAGCTAGCACTAATTGGCTTTCATCGTTTTTATGGGGCATGTTTTGTTGTTGAGGAATTTAACATTTAGTTGGGGGGTTTGGTCACCACATCATTTTGGCGCTTTCGCTTGTTTGGCGCTTTCGCTATACATGTACGTTACGTTATATATATAATAATAATCTCCCTCTTAAATTTTTATTTTTATAACAACAACTACTATTATTATACAACAACTACTATTATACAACTATAACTAATTTACTTGCAGAACTAGTGGCCATGTATAACGAGTGGCCACCTAGATTTCTCACCAAAATTCAATAAATATACAACGTAATAACTCAACAACAGCTTTATAATATAATTTAAATTTTCATATCTAGTCTTTTATATGTACTTAGATTTATTTACTTGAGTTTTAAAGCAATTAGTTAAGCAGCTACTAAGATAGTAAGACTTTAACTAAATTTTAAGGCTAAAACTTAATATCTTAGGAAACAATATATAGATTAACGTGGTTTATCAGTACGTCGGACATATCAGTACCTCGGACACTTTTTCCAAAAACTTCACAATGTGTTTTTTCCACCTTTTATTATGTCAGTGATTACCCAAGAAGCAAAAATCATTCTAGCTATCGAGGCTATCCGAACATCAAAAAATCTAAGTCGTCGGAAGGCTGCTAAGCTCTATGAAGTACCTCATTCTACACTCTGCGACAGAATGAATGGCTGAACTACTGTCTGCGAACGCCAGCCTGCAATGACGAAATTAACTATACTAATTTTATACTCGAATCGCGTGGCGTGGAGGGAGGCGCGTTGGGAAGCTCTGGGCCCACCGATTTGTACAACGACGTCCAGAATTAAAGATGCATTTTAATCGCGTTTAGGACTTCCAAAGGGCCTTGTGCGAAGATCCTGAACTAATTGGCGCGTGGTTTCGACTAGTGGAAAATATGAGGGCAAAATATGGTGTTTCAGACAATACAGTAAATTGACTAGCACATACTTCTATGTCTTTTCCAAGCTTTCAAGCATTGATGTTGTTATTCTTTGTTTCTGAAAAGTCAGTGAGGTGCTAACCTCTGACTTACCCATGAGTTCTCAGACTCAACATTTGTTACAACTTGTCTGAACTACTTCACTACATCATACACCTGATTGCTGCGTTGTGGAATAGTCTAAGCTACAACCCTTTGGCTCTGTTTCCTAAGACAGTGTGTTGTCTTAGTAAAATCATCCCTTCCTTGGGTGGCTAGATTCTCACATCTGGTGCACCCACCATTACATGCACCCACCATTACAAAAGGTAAGTCTTATCCTTTATATAACTAACCTTATTTTATACTAATATAATATAGTATTACTAGAGACAATGCCTCTAATAATAATGTTTTAATTTCTGAATTAAGAGATAAATATCTTAATTTAGGATTAGATACATTTAATGGTAATATACCTTGTATAGCACATGTTATTAACATTGCTGTACAAGATATATTAAATACTTTATTAAAAGACGAAGATAAATATTTTAAGGAATTAGAAGAGCAAAATTTACCAGAAGAAGATAAAGATATAAGTAAGTTTTTACTCTTCCTATAACGTACATGTATAGCGAAAGCGCCAAACAAGCGAAAGCGCCAAAATTATCTACCCTCATGACAAACATTGCGATAAATCTACCACAACATTAGAAATCAATTGAAACTACTCGGAGTCCTCTTCCTCAGAGGTGTCTATTACAATCTGACACGTGCGCGCATTGTGCCCAGTCTCACCACACTTGCCACAGTGACGGGCACGGGTTTCTTCCCTTGGCTTCCGACCATGGCTTGCCCTTATTTCCTGCTCTACCTGCTGCACAACATCCCTCTCATCCTGTAGCTCTTGCGCCCCTTGTTGACTAAGTGATCCTCCTTGCTGTAGTCGTGTTTTCCTAGCTCTCCGGCGCTTGCTTAGTACTTCATTTGCCTGTCGTAGGTTTTGGTTCTCTCCCTTTAGCAGTGCTAATTGATGCATTATTTGCGATGCACCCTTTGTAAACTGGTCAACAGCTGCATAGATTGAGGTTGGAGAGCTATTTTGATGGCGTGAAATCCGAGTTTTAATAAATGTAGACTGTGACATAGCTTCAATTGGGTTGTTTGGTGTCTGAGAAACCCAAGGTTGAGCAGTACCTGGGCGGGAGCTTGGAGGCGTTGGTGTCCTTAACTTAAGATCAAGTGTAGATATCACTCTCTCAGGGTCAAATGGAAGAAGCCCTGCCCCTCGGAACCCGCCTCGAATGTTACTTTCTGTCATTGTAGTGTTAAATGCAGCGTGGAAGGCAGGAAAGAAGTCATCCTTTGTAATATGAGAAATATGAGCCTGCATCATATCTTCAATTTGCCGACCATAGGCCTGCTTTAACGGGCCAAAACAGCCAACATCAAGTGGCTGGAGTAGATGAGAAGAGTGAGCAGGCATACAAAGCGTAATAATGTTGTGTTCCTTGCAGTACTCCTCAAACTCATCTGAGTGGTGGCTCTCATGACCATCAAGGACTAACAAGCGATAACCACCAACACTCCGGGCCTTTGTATGCTTCTCAAAGTGCTGAATCCAATCCATGCCTCTCTCGTTTGTAGTCCAGCCATTTTCAGTAACAGAAATCGCTTGAAAATCCACTATTCTCATACCAAGATGTAAGGTGGTTTTTGCCTGCAACAATGATAA